GGCGGAGAGCACGCGGCGTGCACGCAAGGCGCGAGTGCAACGCGGAAGTCGTTGGAACCTGCCTGCACAACCGACCGGACCTCGAGCTTGGGATGCTGGGCAGGGCTGGGGAACGTGGCGGATGGATGGATGGTTGGTTGGTTGGAACCGAAAATCGTGGGCCCGCCGCCGAGGCTAGATATCTACATAGGTAGGCCGTCGGGTCTTGCTTGTGGCGGACGGGACTGGTTATCTTAGCATAGGGTTGACGGGGTGCATTCGGAGTACCTATTATAGATGTGTGTGTACCTAGCCCGGCGTTTGGAAATAGTATGAAGATATGTGGCTTCTGCATAAACTGCGAATTGGATACACATGTAGGTACATTGTACATATGTAGGAGCACCGACGTTTCAACAATCTACGTGTTGCCCGCCAAGCTGGAGAATCGAGTTTATCTAGATATAGACATACCGGTACTGTGTAGATCGAGGAACCGTCATAGGAACCGGCAAATATGATGGCAACAAGTTCGAGCGACTGTCCAGCCATAGTAGTTATCGGATTCCCTGGATGATTGAAAGTAACCAAGTACCAAGTACTCATGTACCTATATTGTGGGTGGGTATACGTAAAACACCCGCTGGCTGTGGCGCATGTATGTGCTCTATATACATGGCTTCTTCGGTGGAGTCAAGCATGATACATACTGGTACACAATTCGTTTCAACTGCACACAAGACCGAAATCCCGATAATGAAATTCAAAACCCAGGACCTACACTCGCATGGAAGGGGAAGGGAAGGGGAAGGGGAAGGGACTGGACTATGTAGGTATGTACCTACATACATCCGACCAGCAAACGGGGTGGACGAAACGGGACATCGAAGGATCTATATACCTAGTATACCCGTGGCCACTTAAAACGCAGTCAGGGGCACACTATTAGTACCGGTATGTAGATGCACCATTTCGCCGTCGACGCGTACCCGACTCGGAGAAATGTCGGTCCCCGGAGTATCGCTTCAGCATGTGCGCGGCGAATGTGTAGGATGAAAGAAACTCTGGATGTAGATATCTAGATATCTAGATAGATGCGTGAACGCCAGCCTCGGAATCAGCAGAATCAGCTGATTTGTGGAGAAGCAGGCCAGCAAGCGAGAGAAGAGGCCGGTGTCCCGACAGACGAGGTACCAGTACCAGTAGATACCTAACGTAGTAGCACAGGAAATAAACCAAACCTAGGAGTGAATCGGAGAACGGGTGAATCGCAGCCTAACCCCCTTCGTATACCACCACCACCACCACCACCATCACCAAACTCAGTCGAGGTGAGAATTCTATGCTATGTAGATATTGCATACTATGCTTGCTCATAACGATAGAATAAGAACTGAACTTTCAAGCACGTCAATAGCATCAGCGCATTCACATTGTCGAAGCCTCCAGGGCCCGGGCGTTCACACCTTTTTGTGCGCTCGGCGAGCATCTGCACGCTCGCCGAGACATGAGCCGCTTCCCATAATCGTGGAGGAGAGCTTCCTATGGAGTCTGGGAGGAGGTACGTACTCAGGCAGAGTTTCCAGGTGCTGAGACAGAAGTCGCATTTCATAAGCGGGAGGAGTGCTTCTAGGTACTATTGTATTGGATTCTTCTTATGAATAGACATTACAGAAAAGAAATGTGAATGAAAGTCTAGCCATCCTTGGTTTCTGTCACAGCAGTTGACGGCGTCCTGTTCGTGCCGTTGTTGGTTCCGCACGACCAGCCGGGGCCGGAATTGCCAGTGGAGAAGATTACCGAGACACCATGGGCACCGGGGGGTGCGAATTGGTTGCAAACGTGGGGGGAGACAGTAGTAGAGTGGGACGGTTTGCTCGCTATTGCCGTCCATATGCCCAGATTATTCCCCCTTCCATTGCATGCTCATAGCCTCTCTTCACCATATACTTCTTCACTCGTGGAGATGGATTCTCGTGGTCTTCAATCCTTGAGTCCGGGCACGCTTCTGGCGCAATGACTCATTATTCCAGAAATGACAAAGAAACTCAGACTTAAGAGCTGCCACGATTCATGCAGCAAAGCCACAGTTCATGGTTTTAAGAAAAAGCCGTGTCGCGTATCCCCAGCAATGCATTCCGGTATGTAGACACCACTCATCAAGCTAGCTTCCTCCTCAGCGACCGTTAGAACCATAGGGAAAACCCAGTTCCTATGTATTCCATCATTATGAGCAAGCCCTAGTAATCAATATTTACATAGCATAGAATTCTCACCTCGACTGAGTTTGGTGATGGTGGTGGTGGTGGTATACGAAGGGGGTTAGGCTGCGATTCACCCGTTCTCCGATTCACTCCTAGGTTTGGTTTATTTCCTGTGCTACTACGTTAACGTATTGAGGAACCATGACTATATGTTGTAGCGTGTTGACGCTTTGCCGGACGACTAGGTACGCGCCCCCACCGATATCTCAGTTTACGGTCAATAGAAAAGTGAATAAGACTGCAGAATTGTAGCTTACATGCCCTAGTATGTATCACTACCATTGGGTATGTAGCACCTCTATTGCTGCGCCACAGAGCAGAGACACCCTTCGCCGTTTTGCTTACAAGAGGTGGTACCTAGCCGCCAACTAATGGTCCCGCGATAAGTTATGTACCTACCTCGTGGGCCCCATGCGTATAGTTAGTACCGTACTCTACTTACCCGTCCAGGAGAGACACAAGTACTCCAAGTACCGGTACTTAGGTAGGTACTGATCTCGTCTCCTTACTTGCTCCTGTGGCTCCCTGTGGTGTGAATGCGGACCGGCAGCGGGTCTCCTGTCTCTCCGTTCTGGGTGTGGTGGTTACTGGTTAGTTGGCTGGCACTGGTAGGGAACGCATCAAGATTCCAATGGCTGGATATCCAAAAGGGTTTCTCCTGCTGGATGGACGGAGAAAGAAAATCGCATGTGTTTGGTCCGTGCTGCGACTCGGTTTGGGGCCACCGCCAACAGGCCATGATCCGGGGTACTCACCGGCTGATATGCATGCAACCTAGAGTAGAGTAGCTGTGTACTCGGGATTCGTGCTAGTATGATATGTACAGGCGTGATGTTCCTGAATAAAACCAATTCTGTTGGTTTGCGATATCTCGCCAACTCGCTGCGATGGTTGGCCAGTCAAATGCCGAATAAGATGGAACATATGTACATAACGAGGGGGCGGGGTCGGCAGTCAGTAACTGGCGCACCGCGAGTAGTTATCCGCATCCCTGGAGTGTCGATGCAGTGTTCGTCGGTTGGTCCCAGGTTCGTGTTTCTCTTCTCAAGAAAAACACGCGGGCTAGCTGCTCCGGGGAGACGGCTTCGAAGATCGCTAGAGTTCGGTGGCTCATCTTTTGTCTTTCCTCGGCTGCGAAGAATACTGAACAATGAATGCTCGGAAGCAAAAACTCCGAACCGCCGGTCTGCACTCGAGAGTCGAGACATTCCCTCGCCTTCATAAACGAACCATCAAAGTGCAAGTGTCCGGGTGCACCGATCCGTGCCGTCGTGGAGTCCGATCATCCCGTCTGCTAAACTTCGGTTACCAGGAAATCCCTCGACGGTGGGTGTGGCTACGATACCCTGAAAGTTCGATTTTCCGATCATTTCTACCGGGGCGCCGGCGCCGTTCTATTCTCCCGACACCTGCGCTGAGCAACTGCACGATCTGCACGGGGATTCGTGGGGTTTCTGTTTCGTCTTGATTATCTACGACCTTGCTCCTGCATGCACCGTCAGCGCAGCTTCCTTCTTGATCCCACCCTTCCCGCACAATCCCGGAGACGCGCTTGAGAAGAAGAGATATTCTCCAAACTTCGGGGTGCCCGCTGGGTTAAACTCGGCACCGATTAATGAATGCGTTTCGAGGGATGCGAGAAACGCGTGTGCAGTGGTATGGTACGCCACCACTATGTATCACCACCACCACCATTTCCACCGCTGCCGCAACCACCGCCGCCACCACCACCGGTGTGTATGGGTATGTACCTGCATGAGGAGGCTACCACTCCATATTCACGCGGCAGTGTTAACGAAGGATATCGTTGAAATGTGGGGGTGGCGGCTTACCCTAACCACCTCACTTGCAACGTAGGTGGCTTTCCCTATAGTCGATAGGAGGGGTTGGACGTCGAGACTAGTTGCTAGTTGGTACTCTTCCCGCGAGAGAGCCTCGATCGCGGATTCCGACTTCCACAGGCACGACAGCCATCCAAGCAAAAAGCCGCGGATGGTTAAGGCACCTCGTTCTCCGGGACCATCGACCTTGCCTCCTGCGAATTGGAATGGCTCGCTGCCCGATGAAGCATGTGCTTTGAAGCGGAGCTCAGCTCCTCATGGGGGGGAGGGGGTTTTTTTCTTCAGGACCCATGTCGTCTGCATGGGCTTGCCACCCTTTCGTCTGCAGAGGATTCCTCAGATTCTTTGCGTGCGTGCATGGAGAATGTGGAAGGTAAGGTGCGAGCACATGCTGAGCTTTTGCGGAGACGATGCCGACCAGTGCGACTGCTAACTGGCGAGCTTCTCGGCGGGCCTGTGGAGGGTCAGCACTCGCGGCGATACTCTAGATATTGGTCGGAGTGTGGGATGGCACTCCACCGATGAGCTGTACTCTATGTATACTAGAGTTTCCCCACGCATTCCGTTCCTCGTGGCGCGGCAGAAGCTCTGGGAGAGATGGCTGTCAGCATGATTGGGGGAGAGAGGAGGGGGGAGGGGGGAGGGGGCACTACGGTAGACTGCAGGACTTGTGGTAGGTGGTACCGCTGTTGCGGTGCTGCGCATTTGGCTGAATACTGATGACGGTGGGACTGCACCGAGAGAGAGGGAGGGGAGCAACCCAATCGATAGGGCCGTGTTAAGTGCTCAGTAACCGTCCTCATGCCTCACTCTCGACAGCCCTTTGCAGCAGAAACTTCTCGGATTGGCAGCATCCCATAGATTAAATGGCTCTTACCCTCCCACCCCCGGATAAACTGTAAACATTGAACGGGCCCAGAAAGGAGCCCGGCAATACAAAAACAAGTAGACTCCTCGACCTCCACTAGGATTGCCTTCGCGATCCCAAATCCTAAATCCCACGCCTGCACCCTCCACTGCCAGTGGGACTTTGCTTTTTTATTTTGCCGCTAGATCGTGGTGTGCCGAAACCGATTCATCACAGCTGCTCCCGGTCTGAGGAGATCTTCTATTCCTGCTGAGGGACCAAAGATTACTACTACTGGTTGGTAGTGGTTAGCTCCTACTCCAGCACGATAGCCGGAGTCCGAAACCTCCCTGGGAGCATACATATACATAGCGCCCATGCGCCCACTGTCAGAATGGTTGTGACTACGGACGAAATCATGAATGCTGAGGAGTTTGCACCGCGTCACGTCGATGCTGGCTATGTTGCGCTTTCGTATTTCGTGTCGCTTATTGGCTCGCTGTCGACACTTGAGCTACTGCAGCTACGAACGTCAGGGAGAGGTCTATACAACTGGTATCTCTTGTTTGGCAGCAGTGTGACGATGGGTGGCATTGGTGAGTGTTTTTCCTTCCCGTCCTGGCTTACGTTTGTTTCCCTCGTGCTTGGGTGCCTGAAGCTGACTGACTTTATGTATCGTAGCCATCTGGTCGATGCACTTTGTATGACATCCTCCTCCTCCATCCTCCATCCTCCCTCCTCGCTCCTCCGCACTCCTTCCTCCTGCTCCGCCTCCGTCCTATACCGTCCTGATGGCGATAAACAATACCCTCTAACGACCTGACGTCTAGATTGGAAACCGTGCGACTGTACTCTACGATGGCCAGCCCGAATTCCAACTCACATACAACACTACATTTACCATCGTCTCGTTTTTTGTTCCGGTCGTCGTCCTTCTAGGGGCATATTGGCTTGCTGGCTCGGGTGCCGATGAGGTGCAAAAAGTTCGTGTCGGGTTTGGGGGGTTATTTGCAGGTTCAAGGTATGCATAGGTGGACTGGATCTCTCGGTGCCAGGTGGAGTATATACCCCCCTACAGTCATGCTGATCGTGGTTCGCTTTCAGTATCTGCGGCATGCACTACCTCGGCGACAAGGCGATCAACAATTTCAAACCAGTCTACAACACCATACACGTCGTAGCATCAGTGGTAATCGCCATCGTCGCCACGAATGTTGCGTTGACGTTATTCTTCGTTGTGCGCAAAAACTTTACAAACTGCTGGTGGAAGCGGGTGCTACTGGCGTTCCTGCTCGCTTTGGCGGTGTCGGGAATGCATTGGACAGCAAGTTTGGGGACCACTTTTGTTTTCCAGCACGAGCGACCCAACGCTGACTCGGAATTGTCACGACAGTGGGTCGTGATAATTGTCATTGCGCTGGTGAGACATTCTTCGGCGTTCGGACGTCAGCGGCGCGCACATGACAATTGCTAATTACCTGTGCTGCTTGTAGTCGGTCTTCAGCTGTGTCGGCTTGTTGGGTTTTGCGCTAGTTGCGGGGCGGAACAGGAGAAATCAGAGTAAAAAGGCGCAGAGAATTGTGCTGGCTTCTGCGATCTTCGCGGAGGGAAAGTTGATGGTCTTGCCCGATGGGACACTTCCGTCCAAGACGATTACAGATACCTTCTCCGAGCGGGTATGTGCTCACCCGTCCATACACTTCGAGTGTCAGCGCTGATTTTTGGACATCTAGTCGTTCGAGGAAGGCTTTGGCAAACGACACGACGTATTCCACTGGATCTATCGCACATCACGGAATTGGCGGGTGGTAGTCGACCTTCTCCCCGGCATGCGGCGACATCTGAGGTCATACATGGAGGGGGTTCGGGACGGTCAGACATATTTCGAGGATTATTCGATTCTCTTCCGCGAAATGTTTTGCGTTGCGGCCAAGGACCTCGCCGATGCCACGCACCAGCCTTTGCAGTCCGTGGGAGTACTCTATGAAGAGATGTTGATTACCGGTTTGAATACCGGTGGAGCGGGCTTGATGTCGAAGCTTGACCCGGAGATTGGAAGGCGGCATCGTGGCCGAGGAAAGGTTCTATTTCTGGTCAAGAATATCGACAAAACTGAGGCCACACGACTGGCGACCTTTGGTTTCAGATTCACTTCGCCTACGAACGTTTACGATGTGCTTTCCCGGGCGATGCAGGTGACAAAGGAGGATGTCGTCAAGGTGGTCTCGACAATGGCCACATATTACCCGGAACGTGAAGCTTTGCTGCCGCCTGGAGTTTACCTGGGCGCTTTTGCGGTGCAATCTAACGAGGTGGGTGGCTACAATATTTTGGTGCAGCAGAGTGAATCGAGCAAACTCCCGGCGCATTCGCTCGGAATAAACGCCATAACCCCTGCGCACTTCCGCTTCTTGCAGAAATACCACGGCAAGACCGCCGGCGAGCTCACCACCGTTCTTCGCAATGACCTGCGCGAAGCCGCCTCTGGGGCTGGTCTGCCCGAGGCATTCGCGAGGCAATTCAACGATGCACTAGCCTACCTCCTCCTCGAGCTGAAGGACCAGATCTTCAACAACGCGGTCCTCGACGCAAACCCCCAATATCTCCCTACGGCCATGTCGGAAGAAGACCCCTCGCGGCCCGGCACAGGGACGGCCGCCCAACTTATCGTCTTCAAAACTGTAGTGCCCTCGCACATCAGCATCACCTCTCCAAACCTGGTATTCACGCCCCTCCCCTTCTTCTCCATCCAACAGCGCTCCTATCCCGGCTGCCCCGAGCACCAAGTGCACGCACGCCGGGTGCACCGCGAGTTCTCGGCCAAGAAGGCGGTCCCCCACACTACGCGCACGCGTTCGCGCTCCCGTTCCGGCCGGATCTGGAAGTCCGCGGCATCACAGTCCTCGTCGTTCCCAGCCTTCGGGCGGCTCCGCGCCGGAGCCCCGTCCTCACGCAGCCCGAGCATGTCCTCGGAAAAGAACCTCGTCGTCGACGACCCGTTCTCCGCCGGAATCATGGTCAGCCAGACGGTCACCGTCAACGTCGCCAGCCCCACGGACTCGACAGAGCTCAAGGACCTCGGCCCAAGTGTCAATGTTACCAAAATTGACGACTCGGCCGATAATTTTACGTGGTGCGAGGCCCTGTTTAAGGGGATCCTGCCGGATGCGAGGTAGTTGCTCCTCGACTCGACGAGACTCCTCGGCGGCAGCGGTGTGTAATGTGAAAGTGGAACGAGGGAGGTGCATATTCTACAGGGGTTTTTTTTTGGGCGAGGTTTAGAAGGAAAAGCATGAGACACAGACACTACATAATTTTTTGGCAAGAGCTTTGGGAGCTAGAGTTATCTACACACATAGTAAGACGAGTTAGTGTGGGCTCTCGCATATTGTTTTTTTTTGGCGGATGGGATGGAACGGTATCACGGCTGGGTTGGTTCTGGTTCGGTTATGGCGCATCTTGTTGGGTTGGCATTTTTTTGTTTCATTTGACGATTTCTTTCATTGAGGTGTATCTAATGTAAATACGTGTTCTTTTTTTTTTGTTTGTTTGTTTGGGAATTTTCTTAGATGGTATCATAAGCAAACATAAAAGTCGCTTGTTGTCTTGTAACTACAACTACGGTCGATGGGAGGGGGGAGATTGGAGAGCTCGGCGTCTTTGCAGATATGTAGAGTACTCGTATGTACTCGTATGGAAAAGGGGGAGGGGATGTTAATGCACGCATACATAGCCATGCCATGGGGGCCGAACTGATGCTGTGATGGAATAACTATCAGATAGCTGTTGGCACATTCTCTAGACCTCATCTGGCCAGCAAGTAAGTTAGCCATGCCCGCCAAATCCCGCCCTGCACAACCCACAAACTCACGCTCCGAAGCTACCTATGATAGTTGGCGGTAAACAGAGTATCAAAGCGCGGCCGGCCTCGATGTTGTCTGGCATGTAGAATATTTACATCATACACGTTACGATTCGGGGAAGGGGCCGGGAGGGTGGCGACGGGAACATGTGGAGACGGAGAGGGAAGAGGGAACATCCGTTGACATGATATGTAGAGCATGCAATGTACATAGCGAGCCAGTTTGTGGTAAGCGGTTTCACGATACATATCAGACCACGGGCCCATGGTTCACTTCAAGCCCGAGGCCGAGCCAGAGCCCGAGCTCCCCGCCACTCGATAGAAGACTCCAAGCCAATCCAAGCCAATCCAAGCGCAGTGCACACGGGCGGTCGGATTTCTAGAATGCGAGCTAGGTATGCGTACCGTCTATAGTTGCTAGTGGTTGGTTACTAGTTGCTAGTATTAGGGCCGGCAGCTGCCATTGCACTACTCTACTATACAGACACGCTACGCCTCAGTTTTGGTACTCCTGGTACTCCAGGTACTCCAGGCCCCAGGGTGGCTCTGCTACAGGTATACAAGTAATTCTGCACGCGAGTTGAGTATGTACATACGCTCATCTAGAGCTTCCCATGCTTCAAGTTTCAAGCTTCAAGTTTTTCTCCCAGCTAGAAGTGACAACCAGGTACCCTTACATGAGTATTTGTTAGTTAATAGGCCGCGTTTGTACACCATAGCCATGTGTTCTGTGTTCACGCCGCTCCGCCGACTAACTATAGAACAGTAGTAACTAGCAGCGAGTAAGCCGAGCCTATAGATACTCGGACAGCAAGACAGCGTCACAGCGCGGAACGAGCGCGCGGGTGCTGCCAGGGAGAGGCGGTGACAGCTCCCGAAGGGACGGAGACGACGCCGAATGGAGACGAATTTCCTCCACACGAGATGTTTGTGGTAGTTACTTACGTATGTATAGGTAGTAGATACCGTGTTCGCTGTCAATGCCACATCCAATACATACTCCGCCGCTCACATGCCTACGTATGTATCTACATACGGGGCGAAATTACAGACGTGTCTTTTCCGTGTCTTGTCCGTGTCGCGGGGGGGAAGGAAGAGGCGGGGCCCCGCGTGTTGACCTCTAGCTATTAGCTACAGGGCTCTGCCTAGGGCGAGCATTGAGACACTGGGGGTATGCGCGCAGGGTGCTCGAGAGAAACAAAAATCGAGCTGGCTGGCCAGACAGCTCCCTGAGTCCCTGTGCCTCCCTCCAGCCACGCCGGGGGCTGCGTAATAGCTCGGTACCTACCGGTAGGTAACTGACTAGGTGTACAGTAAGCGCTACACATGCGGGAGTCTCGTCGGATATCCCGAGAGCTCGTAAACCCACAAATCCGCAAACCCCCAGAGACATGCTGCCGTTTGCAGATCGCGAAGCGGAAGGCTGACTTCTGCGGCGTGCGGGACGCCCATCCATCCGGATGATGTTGCCGTGGGTGGGTGGGTGGGCTGAGGTTGAATGGCAAAACGTGGAGCCGTTGAGACGACGGGGCACGTGGAGTTGGTGTTGGATGTTTTTATTTTGGCTGGTTGGTTGGTTGGTTTCGTTAGTGATAACATGTTAACTACTAGTGGAGTCGTGCCACCTTCAGATCGTGGGGTGAGTGAGAAAGAGGGGGGGAATCTGCCGGGTCACCATACTAGGAGTCGGGCGCCAGTGCGTGGGGGTCACGTCATGCGCAGGCACTCGGTGATCTCGCGCACGCGGACGACGTGAGATTGTGTGATCCAGGAGGTGTGAGGATATGAGTTAAGAACCTCTTGCAGACTGCGAGAATGTATTCCGCCGTTGCCGACGGCTTTTTGATATTCCCGTAAGCCTGGTGCTACAAGCTGGAGAAGCTAGGGGGGACAGACACATTTGAAGGTGTCGGCTCCTACCTCATCCACTTCCGAAGAGCTACATACAGAAGCCTGGCATGCGCAAAGGTCGCTCTCTAAACGACCACTACAGTAGGGTGAACCATGTCCATTGGCGGCTGGGATGGACCTTGGTTCTAAGCTGCGCTTGCTTTGCGTTCAAAGTAGATATGTCTATCGCAAGCAGCGTTTAGATGTTCAGTACGGTAAGTCGCTGCAGGAGGTAGACGAGTTTCGTTCCGAGCCGTACTAGGTATAAACTTTGAAACTACTGCAAGTGGAGATAATCTAGGGAGGAGGAATACCAGAGGCAGGAGAAGCTTGAATGGTGCCTAGGTAGCCCGCTATCTTCCTCCAAAACATCGATTACAACAGCTCTAGGCCTTCCGTTGTGGCATGATCTCCTGTGCAGCCCGTAAAGCCTTCCACTCCCTCGGCATCTACCATCATCACTTTTGGCTCGAGAAGACGCCACCAAATGACCGATAGTTTCCCTTCCTTTCCCGGTACATACGACGACGACCACTGCACTGCACGAAAAACCACCCCCACTGCACTGCAAGCCCCCACGCAACACGGAATTCTAGCCGCAGCTAATCTCCACCATAGCACCGCCCCCATTCTCTAGCGACAGCGATCCGAACTCGCCCTATGCGGCATGGGAAAGCTTCTTATGAAAGAAAGTCGACGGTGTCGAGATCGCCACACTACCGACTCTAACTATCATACGTTTATTTTGTGGGGACGTGCACTCGTTTAGAGGAGTCCAGCCGACAGGCGATCCGAGTTGATAGTCTACATTTTATATATATGCGCGCTGATGGAGCCCAGCCCTGGCCGATGAGCACTGTACATAAGAATCTGACCGTGGGCGTCTACATGGGCGTTGCCGTGCGCATCGATAACTCTGTGCCTAGGTAACTACGGTGAGACCGAAATGTTTCACCACATCCCAACGACTCCACGACGAAGCCGATGTCGTTTCCCGGAGACAGGCCGCCCCACATTCAAGCGAGCAACCGCCCAACAACAACACCTCGTCGCCTGCACGGATCTGCGACACCGGGCTAATTGTCCCGAGACCATCCAGTACGTTACCAGAGTACTATGTGTGGATATGTACGAGACGAACAAGCACCGAGCCTATAGTTATCTACTTTATTCGCGCGAGGCGCAACACCGCGCTCAATTCCATGTGTGGCCGCGAGAGTGGGTGATATTGCATGCATAGACCACGCGATCAACTTCGTGAAAGTCTCATCACCACCCTCGTTCTTCCCCCCGGTTCACAAAGTTGCGGACGCAGTAAATATCTAGGTTCATTGCGCTGAAGACATCGTTCGTCACTGAGCTGAAACGACTGTACATAGCGTTTGACACGCGCGCATGTCTGCAGAGCCCGGCGAGTCCGCCGAGTTCCCGACTCCGAGTTCGAGGGTACATAGAGCCCACATTTTAATAGGTACCGCATCTGGGTATGTACTCGACCATGAGGACCAGGCGCTAAGATGTTCAAATAAACTTGACGAGTGCCGGCGGGTGGCGCAAGGGTGGCGATTATCACTTTCTTAGCCGATCGTTAGGCCAAACAACACCTACATACTAGTGATTACTTCATTGACGGTGCACGTGCAATGATAGTCCGAATATCCTCCTCTGGGTTACGGGCGGTTTCGTTACCCTTCATGAGCAATCACTCCTGCCAAGTGTGTGGCGACGGCATCCAAAAACCTTCCCCACAAAGCCACATGCTTCTCATGGTCACTCGTTAGGTTTATTCGAACATCTTGGCGCCCGGTTAAATTCGGTATCGCGATATCGAGTTTCCAATTGCCATCTGAATTCCCATATGTATGATATGTACCGTCTTTTCTCGCCGAGTTCAACACCAAGTAATCATAAACAAAGTTCCACTCGGTAACGATGTAGCATTGATACTAAAATCTGCATCCTATACATTCGCATCACTGCAGTTGCAGTTGCCCACGCATCAGCCCTTGTGAAAATAACGGTCTTCTGGATGCTGGTTGGTTGTTTCGTAGGCATCCGGTTTGCTGGCACCAGTTGACGTCACGCTTCTGATAAACCCTGGCCCTGTCGTCGACACGTCGCACCGCCAGCAGGCAGATGCGAAAAGAAAAAAACGAAAAACAATTGAAGAAGAAGAGGAGAAGAAGAACATCGACATTTCCCCCGGCATCGCCGTTTCCATCCTTCAAACCATCCGCCCATTGATATCGACATCGTCGTCGCCGAAAACAAAAATGTTCGATACGCTCCTCTCGATGTCGGCGCTGCCGCTGCTGTTCACGTCCTACAACTCGTGGGGGACGTCGCTGAACCTGCTGTTCTTTTACATCACCTGGTCGACGCTGCTGCTGTCGCACCCGCCGATTAAAGTCGAGCTCATCGGCACCGCGCTGATCCGCGTGCTCTTCTACTGGCTGCCCACCGTGCTGTTCCTGTTCTTCGACGTGGCCATTCCGTCGCTCTCGAGAAGCATCAAGCTGCAGGGTGTGCGCGGGCTCGGCCAGGGCCGCGGTGGCGCGAAGGCCCTGCATAGACTCAAGGTCGTCGCGTGGTCCTTGGTCAACATGATCCTCGGAATTGCAGTCCAGGGCGCTATCGAATACCTCTTCACAGAGATCCTCGGGAGGAAAAGTGCCCTCCGCATCGCGAGGGTGCTGCCCATGCCGGGAGAGCTGCTGTGGGGCGTGTTGCGTGGCGTGTTGTTGCGTGAGGTGCGTCAACTACTCTATCTAGAATTCCGATCGACGGGAGCCGAGTAGAAAGAAAAAGAAAAAGAAAAAGAAAAAGAAAAAGAAAAAGCTAACGGGATGCCCGCCAGGTGTCGCAATACTACATCCACCGCTTCCTCCTCCACGACGACGGCTACCTCGCGCGGGCGCACAAGAGCTGGCAGCACTCGATCTCAGCGCCGTGGTCGGCGGTGGCGCACTACGACCATCCGGTGGCGTACGTGCTTGGCCGCGTGCTGCCGTGCTACCTTCCCGCGGTGATATTCCGATTCCACCTGTTGACGTGGTTCCTGTTCGTGGCGGTGGTATCAGTCGAGGAGGTCACCACGTTCAGCGGGTATTCCGCCGTGTATAGCATGCTCGGCGGCGCTACTAGGAGGACGGATCTGCATTTTGAGACGGATGGAGAGGTGGGTTTGGTGCTTTGAAGCGTGGGGTGACTGTGGTTTAGCCGCTGACAATGTGATAGGGAAACTTTGCGCCGTGGGGCTTGCTGGATTGGATCCATGGCACCACTGTTGGGAACGATATCAAGGACGATGTAGAGGAGGAGCTGGAACTTCAAGAGGAGAGGAGGGAGAGGCGGCGTAGCAGGCTGCGCGGGAAGAAGCGCGATTGAGGAGGGATCTGTTAGAATATGCGGCATACGGAGTTGGCGGAGTTGGTGGAGTTGTTGGTGGCCCTTTACGTTTTTATGACTTGCTTATCTACATTTTTGGATACTCTTATGGCGAATTCCTATCACAGTCCTGGTGCGGACTAGTTTTCGCGTGATCACTGATGGTGATGGGGTTCTAGGAGGACAGGCGTCAAGTACCGGTAGGTATTACTACACTGAATGAGAAGACCCCTATCACCGGTATCAGGAGTATCCCACATGCTACTACTATAGACGGCTATAGCAACATCTCATATCTTTTATTGATGGGATATCTATAATCAGTACTGACGGTATCAAGGTTAGCGCAATATTCTGCATCATAGTCGATCATACATGTTCCGTTGTGACCATCCCCGATTCCCCGATTCCCCAGAGTTCCCAGCCACGAATCACGATTTGACGGCTTCCGCAACTGAACACTCCGCCCCTACCGCGCACTTCATTTTTCGGATCCGAACATCTTCCTCATGCCTACGCGATATATACTTAATACCAGATCACGAGCCCTCACAACCGGCTGTAGAGTATCGAATCGGGTCTGGATGGTTAGAAAACCCCCAAACGGCGGCGTGCTGAGCAGTAGCTGAGTGCAGCCCACCGGGCTGGGTGCCATGTCTCTCGCGGCTACAGTCTTCCACGGCCCTCCACGGTCTTCCATGCAGCGATGTAGCATGCTCCCCGAGATTTTAATGCGGTTCTGTGTCGCATTTGTGTTGCATGCGGCATTCCCTAGAGGTATGTAGGTATATATGCACACTCGTTGTGAGTGACCTGGACGGCTAGGGGCTACCCGGGGCCCGGGCTGGTGGCTACTTATGTGCTCTATTGGAACGACGGGTGCGCCATCGAGGATGGTTCATGATATTCCTGGTTTTATGGACGAAGACTCGACAGCCTTCGGGACGCAGACCTTGAAATTGTTGGCAGCGCAGGCGCGTCTTCCAGCAATAGGTCCCGGTAGGTATGTGCAGTGCGTTGCACCGGAACTTGCCTCCGTAAACAGCAATTGTCGTCGCTTCTTTGGAGATCATGGCGCTCCTTTACATTCGCTGGGTATATCGAGAAGGGGGGAGGAGGAGACACCCGGTCTTACGATGATTAAAGCTACTTACTGACTCGCCCTCATCGTTCTACACTCACTTTCGGGCTGTCACTCGCGTTCATTTGTGCGTTATATGTACACTACTTTGATATAACCAACTGAAATAGAGTAAGGACCTTGCCGGCAAACAAACTATTGTAAAGCACCAAGCGTAGGTATATGAAGTGGGTAAATACCTCTGGCAGTCTTCCTTGATGTGGGTCTGTATGCAATCCAGCTGCGATGGCTTCTCGCAGAGTCGTAGTTCGTTATATGCACATACATATACTCAGTAGATGGAGCGTATCGACCAACCTGCGTTTCTTGTCATCTGCGACCAGTCAATAGTTACCGTAGTAGTACCACTGGCACCCAGAGGGCCAGACCGAGGGCCAGACCAGAGGCCGAGTGAATTTCCAGCCAGCCAGCGAAGGATGATGACGACGCAGTGAATGCGAGATCTCGGCCCCCGACAGTCGCCTGTCGAGCCAAGCGCCAGACTTCATGACGTCTAAGTACTACGGTAGGTAGGTGTCTCCTTCGGAGTTCCGAGTGACAAATCCCACGAAGGCCATCGATGCCCCAGATGTATATGTATGTAGAGAGCACGACAACATCATCAGCATGGGTACGTAGGTATTGTTTCGCGACTCATCCGACCTGCTGTTGTCCTTTCGACACGAGCCCGTACTCGTACATAGACGCACGCACGCAATGTTAGTCTTTCACTCCGACATCTCCGACGTCTCCGGGAATAACGCCGTTAAGGCTCTATGTAGAACTGATTGGCGTGGCGGGCAAGAGATAGGCGTTATGTACTCTAGGTAGGCAGGGCCATAGCGAAGCGGCCGCCACGCATGCATCGCGCGGGCGCAGTGCCGTCGATGGAATGGAATCCCTTCAATTCATCCAGCACCTTCCATCCATCCACTCACTCTCTCTGGCACAGCGCTGTCCAACAGGCTTCAAGCTTCCGTCTACGTCGATCTACGGAGCGGGCTGGGACTATCCGATTATCTATCTACACTGTATAGTGCTCACCTGCCATGTCTCACATACAAATCCTCCGTGGCGCAATTGGCTAGCGCGTTCGACTGTTAAGCATCCATGTTCGGCGATCGAGAGGTTGGTGGTTCAAGCCCACCCGGAGGAGTTACTTTTTGCCGATCCCGGCTAGGGTCCCCAAATTTTGTTGCAACTCACGCAAGATCAAAGACTAAGTCCCCGATCGGATGATACATGACTACCACTTGTTCGGTTCGGCAATCATCACCATCACCACCTCCGCCCCCAATACGACCATGCGTATGTACATATGGAGGATGATCCGATAGGAGACGATGATGGGAGTTTTTTGACTCGACATTTACGACGTCGTACAAAGTTCGCGGAGTGCTACGGTGGTGCTAGTGATCGGGAGATGCAAACATCACAAACCAGAGAACGGGATATGATTTGCACGGTTGTTATATATGTGATGTGTTATGCGATGCTCCGCATCGCTACTGGCTGGCTGGCAACGAGAGTGGATGCGCGCCGAGCTCGAGGCGAGAGGTGAGAGGCGAGCGATCGAAAAATCAAGCATCGAGCGTGCGGATCAAGTGTCGATGCATGTGTGTGTGTGGGTGCTTCGATATTTGTTTGTTGACGATCAGACGAAGAGGAAGAAGAACGAGGTGGAGGACTCAAGAGAGCCCACTGCCCACTGCCCAGGGCGCGATGGTGATCGGGTTGGAGATATGATACCACCGTGGCAAGTTGGAAGTCACAACACAGCGCCCCCATCTCACGCAAGAGCTTGGTATTCTACCGGTATCGTAGGTACTAGTGGTACCGGTAGAGCCCTTTCGCACACGAGCCCTCCAGCCTGAACGGCGAGTATGTAGATATCTTCTTACATATCATACAAACGAGACTTCCACGGCTTTCCAGCTCGCTACTATAAACTTCACTTTATCCCCGGTACCGTCAGCACTTGCACTCCGCATACCCAAGTAAGTACCGGGACTCCATGTGTGTATCTACACACCACGCCGACCACGACTTCACATGCCCCGGGAAGGGATGCCCCACTGCCAGCCTCCAGGAGTCCAGGGAGGGAGACCAGTGATTTACCGTAGTTACCCCGCATATGTATGTTGGTAATATGTAGGTAACTATGTAGTCCGCACCATGGGAACCAATAGCGAGACGCGATTTCCTTATCTATCGCCCAGGAGAAAAAAAACTTGCTGTTTCTGGTCTGGACCTTGGAGTAGATCCGACGGTTGGGGATTTAGCCCTAGCTCGAGAACGCTTGGGGGCCCGGAGGGGGCTGCGTCACCTTGATCGTGTGTGGGGGGCGGGATGCGTGTGTGTCTGCGGAATTCGAATGCAGGGCGAAAGGAGGGAGGGAAAAGAAACGGCGAACACACATACATATGCGAAAAACTGGATGACGGCCATGGGGGTTTGCGGCTGTTGTTGGCTGGCTGGCTGGCGGGCTGGCAGGCTGGAGTGAAGTCGGCGACTTGCGATCGAGAGAGTGGGATATGTAGCTTTTTTTCACCGCGACAGCCACAGCAACCCATTATTATTACCCGCGGAAAAGGAGGAAAGAGCGGCGGAAGAGGAAAAGGGCGGCGGAACTTAAACAAACGGACGTTGGCGGTGGAGGTGGAGATGGTGGTGGTCGGTAAAGGCTCTCCTACGGAATTGCAGAGGGAGAGAAGACGGTTCGAAGCGCGAGGGATCACGAGAATCAGAGCGTGAATTGCATCACGAGAATCGAATCTCCAGAACTCCCAAGCTCCGGCATCACTGTAGGCTTGTGTAGAGTACCGTAGAGTAGTCAAGACTTCTTAATCAATACGGCTTGGCTTTGGGAGGCGTTTCCCCGCGATCGCCGTTTTACCAAACCAAACAAATCACGATTCGTGATTGTATCCGTCCCGAGGCTCCATAGGTCCAAGACAACATATTTCACGGTTGCATCTCTCGTGGTGGTGGTGGTTGCAGGCAGGCACACATTGCCAGCGACAGGCTAAGCGCAACCGGGAAATCCCGACCTAGCACACTTATGCTCACCAAGCAAAAAGACACTAAAAAAAAAGATTGTTCGGCCTGCGAACCAGCCCGCCCTCCGACTTCTTCCACCACTTCCCGCCCCAACTCGACGCTATTACACCACCATCCATCCATCCATCTGCTCTATCTTGCTCACGCCATTCAATCCCACAATCGTGATACCTACCTGTCATCGTATAGAGTACCTACACTCAATTTCCAAGCCGTCCGTCCCGTCTTAAGAACCCCCCTTCTCCCCCACCACTCCAACGAAGGTCAGAAAGCATCCTCCGTCAACTTCACCATTCACTACTACCACCACACCATCCACCGCTACCACTACAAATACCCGCCGTAAAACAACCACATCCATCCATCTCCCCACAACACTATCATCACCTTCACTCTCCACCCTCCGCCTCTCGAAATGATTCCCTCCAAGATTGCCCGCGCTGCCACCCAGCACCGCACTCCCCTCATCTCCTTCCTCGGCAAGCGCACAATCCCTCGTACGTATCCCCCGGCCTCAGGCGGTTGACTCCGCTCTCCCGATCCCGTACTGACAAACTCTGCAGAGAACATCGACCACACCCCGCGGCCACACCCGCAGTCGCCGACCGGCGCACTCCCCACCAGCTTCGCCGAGTACCGCAAGACGGCCATCCAGCACGGCCCCTTGGCCAGCCAGCCAGCCGCCCAGACCGCCCGCGGCACAATTGAAGCTTCGGTCGGCGAGTTCTTTGACCGCAATCAGCTGCCCCGCCGCTTCTGGCGCATGACCATGTCCCCCAAGGAGATGGAGATCATCGAGAGCGGCGGTGCCGCCGCCTGGGCTTAAACGCTCACCTTTCTTCCTTCTTTCCTACGGTTCGCAAGTCATGGCGGTGCTTGGTTGAGGTGGAAAAAGCTGTGATTTCTTTTCTTTCTCTAATGGAACGGATATACCAACGGACGGATCGGCGGACGGATGGATGCATGGACAGATGGATGCACGGACGGACGGATGCGTTGGATTTCATTCCCGGGTTTGGGACACGATTGCTACCGGCACGATAACGAGGATACGGCGTTCAGTTCTCACTTTACAAAAATACCTACCGCCTCCGCACCACCACCACCACCACCACCACCACCACCACCACAATGATGAGCGGCAACGGAGGCGGATCATTTTCTTTTTTTCTTTTCTACGATTCTATTGTATAGTCTCCTTTCTCTTTTGTCGGGTTGGTTTCTTATGGAGTTTTGTTTCGTTTTTGATCCTTCCACTTCTTCGCAAGCTAGTTTCGCAGGAGGGAGGGGAGGTGGATTCTACATACCTATGGCATTTTGTACATACTATTCCGTGCTGTTGAGGAATCCGAGCAGAGTTTCTGTGCATACCAGCCCCCCCGTGATTTGATATCAGTGAGGTGTGTCGCGTCATACTCGATAAGCCTACTTGAACGATTGGCTTGAGCCTCGCAAAAGCTTATCTGTAAAATGGATGGGTTCACCTTGCTATTCTTAATTATTAATAGGAGCGGGCCGTTATGGGCAATGAGAATTGGGCGCTGGGAGCTCTGCGCAGTGCGAGTCTGCGGCTGAAAGGGGGGGAGGGGAGGAGGCGGGGGATGGTCTGTGCGGCGGCATGCGGGGAGACGACGTGTGATTGACTTTCAGGTATGTACCGGTATCTACCATATGTAGAGTACAGTAGATGGATGGAGGAGATCTGCAACGCACCGGTTACCCGAGTACTCTATGTATGTATTCTTCTTCTCCTTCTCTGTTTCAACTTCAAGATCATCAGCCCACGACAGTCACGTCAGGACTCAGGGCATTCGGAATCGGAATCTCTTCCAAGTTCCATGCAAGGCGCCGTGGCCCGTAACTACTCTGCTACACAGCTGCACAGCGCAAACTTAAACATTTCAACATCCCGCCGCGGAAGGTGGAATAACCACGCATGCCAAAACACCGTACACGCAGTTGCGACGTCCTCCACTGCTCCGCAATCACCCGATGAGAAGGGAATTATCCGTAACCACCCGATGAGAAACGAATTCTCCAGACTGACCAAGGATCAGTCAGCCCATGCCGTATGATCTCCGGTACATACCCGTCCGTACCTACCTATTACCTGTCTATTACCTTGCAAATTGCGCTGCCTTCAGGCTGCAGCATACATATTATGGGGATATCATGGGGATAGCGAAACGGAATGCAGGTGGAAAATCTCAGCTCTGCAACGTCGGAGGTCTGGTCTCCTATCGTAAGCCTGTCCTTTCGTTCGTTCGTTCTTTCGTTTTGTTCGTTCGTTCGTTTTGGGGGGATCTGCAACAGCGAAAATCGGATGGTTAGGATGGTGGGAAGGGAAGGAAAGGGGGAGTGCACACTGCACGTTTCGCCGGGGATCTGGGGATCCGGATCGGTGCTGTTACCTACAGACATAGAGTACCAACATAGTACTGGGTCGGTATGGTAGGTAGAGAGGTTGTATGGCAACGGAACCTGTATGCCATGAGAATTTCCGGACTCTAACTAACCCAATTGGACCTAGACTGATCTCTTAGCGTCCGGAAATTCTCATGGCATACAGGTTCCGTTGCCATACAACCTCTCTAGTACAATACATGCCATCGCACGAGTGCGTTGTGCGACATGTGCGCGACATCACTCTGTCACTCGTTGCCCGGCGTTCTCAAGCTGTGAAATTCGGCCCTTTGGTGCTGGTCACTGCTGCCACTGCCATTACGATTCTTCGATCATACCTACCGTATCCGCCGCTTGCCGTCGCCTGGCTGGGTTCGCAATCGCCCACCCCGCCACTCGTATGTACGGCAACCCGCACAATCGCTGGCCCATCTGGCACCACCCCCGGCGTCTCCATGACCGAGTTCATGTCCACTACCACCACCACCACCATCACCACCACCTCGGCTCTTGCTACGGAAACCGTTACCTTTACCGTCACCGTTACCGTTACCCATTCCCGCGATCATTCGGAAGTCTACTATGTAGATACGCAAGCGCACATCCGCTGTGTATCATTCGGCGACTGCCGCGTCTCCAGATTTTCTATCATCGACTCGAGCCGATTGAACTCATCACCTGCTTGAGTGGACTCATCCCATGGGAGCGATTACTACGTAGCAGTAGTACTGCAGTGGGTGGGTGACCATGCGGGAATCCTTGGTACCGTACGGCGTAGTTTTAAAAGCCTTTTATCGTTCTCCTCGCTCTCGAGGTGCTGGCAGAAATCTGCTGCAGAGATCGCAGAGATGCGGTCTAGGTACTCAGTACTCTACCGATAGGTATCCCCATCGATCATGGGAACCGGTTTCGGCCACCTCCATTAAAGTCAAGCCATTAGAGATCCACCAAGGGATGGAGAAGCTGGGAATTTTACCGGAAGAATCCTCTGCGAAACGGTTTGAGATTCGCTCAGAGTTATGCACTGGATCTCACTCGCTCAGTTCACGTGATGCTCGGTGATGCATCTTTTTTTCCGGCTCCCATCCCGCCAGATCTCAAGAGTGAGCGCAGGTATGTACCGAAACCTCCTGTAATGTTGCACCGATTGCTCGTGGATCGTGAATTCTTGAACGACGCAGTGATACACTGAAGGCTGCTCGTACTTATGTAGGAGCTTTTAATTTCACGTTTACGCGCGGGATATCGTTTCGCACCATTTATTGCGACTCCTGGGCCTCTCATTCGGAATTTCGTATATAATAGACTAGGTAAACAAAAGGAAAATGCTGAGAAGCGCTGAGCGGACTACACTCCCGATGACACAAAATCGTCTCTCTAATAGACACCACAGAGCTCCGGATGCGCCGGGTTAGTCAAGCACAGCGTCTGCGCGCTGCTATAAGACGGCCTGAACGGCCCTTCCGCAATTGCAGTCCTGCCCTTGCCAGCACACTGCTTCGCTCCGCTGAGTGCCATGTTCCTGAATACCGTACCGGATATCACCGAGTATCCAGGGAACATGCCATGGTCGGGGTACTTGTCGGAGATGACCATGGCGCATCCGCAGTTTTGGTACACGACACACCAGTTATTGAGGATAGTCACGCCGTCGGCGGCCATTGTTGTGCCGTGACGCACGCAGTTCTTGGCGGGGGTTTGTGTGGTAATCATGGATACTTTGGAGAGACGTTGGCCTTGAACGGTGATACTGAAAATATGTCAGCGGGCTAAAAACCAGCGGGGACAGGGATGGGTGCTTACGAGCCGAATGACCAAAGACAGTCTCTCATATCAGCTACACCACCACCATCGGTTCGTGTCTTGCTACAGGCGATCCTTCCATCGGTCTTGCGGGGAAACTCGGCAGCTATCAAGGGAGATACGCCGGCGGGGTCGGGAATGGGATCGCCGCCGCACGTGGTTGATGCCTTGTGGTTGATATCAGCTATAGTAACATGAGTCATTGCACGAAGATGACTTACTCGGATTTGAATGCGGAGTTTGATGGTTGAGGTTCCGAATGGTACTTGACCTCTCAGTGTAATCTCTCCTGCAAGTGCTATCAGTACGGGCATCTTCTAGCCACGGGAGGAATCCTGTTACTTACTTGCTAACGGGTTCCGTGGCACGTCAAAGTTGATAAAATTCTTGTCGCAAGAAGCCCCAGGGCTTGAAGGGGTATTACTCATACTCCACCCAGTGACAGAATCCGAATGTGCCTGGATAGTAGCCCCATCCATAGAGATTCCGTTTGCCGGGCCAACATGCATCAGAGCGAAGATATTGACGGTAAAGTGGGTTGCTCCCGAAGCGATAGTAATAATTTTGGTGGCGGCGAAATTCCGAAACTTACCGCTCCAGTCGCAGTTACCGCTAGTGGTGGGTGTCTGGCCCGAATCGGGAATACCACTCGGCTTAGGAACGGCGGTCGAGTTGGGGACACCACTCGACCTTGGAACCGTGGTGGACTTGGGAGTACCACTCGGCCTAGGAACCGTGGTGGACTTGGAAATAACACTCGACCTTGGAACAGTGGCGGACTCGGGAGTATTACTCGACCTAGGAACCGTGGTGGACTTGGAAGTACCACTCGACCTAGGAACTGTGGTGGACTTGGAAGTACCACTCGACTTAGGAATGGTGGTGGAATTGGGAATAACACTCGATCCAGAAACCGCGGTTGAAGCTGTAGAAAGTAGCTCTATACAGTTGCCGACGGCCTCTTCATCTATTAATTCTTCGTCTGTGCTTGCATCTAGCGGCGATGGCCCAGGAACTGTGGTGGACTTGGAAACACCACTCGATCTAGGGACCGTGGTGGAACCGGCAATACCACTCGAACTTGGAACCGTGGTGGACTTAGAAACACCACTCGATCTAGGGACCGTGGTGGACTTGGAAGTACCACTCGACCTTGGAACAGTGGTGGACTTGGGAGTACCGCTCGACTCAGAAACCGTGGTCGAAGCTGTAGAAAGCATCTCTATACAATTGCCGGCCGCCTCCTCATCTACTAATTCTTCGTCTGTGATTTCAGCTCGTGGCGCTAACCCTGCGACGGGGAGCGGGGAACCAGGCGAGACGACGATGGGGGGTCTAACTAGTTGTTAGCATGCATCGTCATTCGGAGAAGACCAAGTCCACTCACGATATCGGAGGAAAATCCGCCGCGGAACAGGACTCCGAGTAAGATGACAACAAATCCGTCGGAATTGGGATTGGAATAGAGCGAGGGAGAATAACTGGCGGGCCTCCTGGGAAGTTTCCGGCTGTCGGAGCTATGGCAGGTACGGCGATTGTAGGGCTGGGGGCCACCTTCGGGGTTACAGTGGTAATTCCAGATGATTGATCAAGAGGAAAGGCATGAGTAGTGAGAGAGAGGAACGAGAGTGTGAAGAAGAAAAGAATGTGTGCAGCGGTAGGTGCACCGAAACGGCTACGTGGCGTGAAGGGAATCATTGTGGAGGTGAGCTGCTGGCTCAACTGGCTTTGTTACGGCGTACAGATCGGTATATACGTACTGCTGGTGGTGTCCTCCATGAGCGGGGCAGCTCTACATATGTTAACCGCAGTAGGTTTCCTGCTTCCACAACATCGAGAACAGCTGTGATCGCCTAGCCATTTCCCATAGCCCCTCTAGATCTCTTCGTCCACGAACCTGACTCGTAAAGGCATCAGCAGTGGGTTTTCCACTACTAGGGTTCTCTCCATTGCCTCACCGGCGGGAGCAGAATTTCCCGATAGTGGCGGCCCCCGGTCGTGTGGCATATTGGGCAAGGAGAGAACAACCAGATATCGACGAAAATAAACCTTTGATTGCAGGTAATCAGGGTGAGGCGAACGAGGCGCAGGGCTCCCGGGTCCCAAAAAAAAGCTAACTGGCGGGGTGGCATTTTGAGACAGAGGGGCAACGACGAATTGCCGTCACAATGTCGGGGCCAGTGACAAGGCGCTGGGGCCAGGGGCGCGACAAGGCGTAGGTACTATGTGTACAGTATGGACGATCATGATCGCCGGTCAACCAAGGCCAAGCCGGCTTCGGGCCCGGGCCCCTCATGGGTGCAACAATACGGTATACCTAACAGTCGGCATCCCGGAGCTTCGGCACTATCGTAATTCAATATTCAAACTCCAAGGCAGTAAGGCACTACCATTTCGGCGTGAGGCTTCGAGTTACAAATTACAATTTGTGGTCATATGCAGCCCTTGGGGGATGCATTGGAGATATCTGTTCAGGCACTCGCGCAGCTACGCCCAGCCAGATATCAGGCGGTGACGATGTTCCGCAACCCGCCAGCATAGTTCAGGCAGGATGAGATGGTTATGGGTCTTCTAGCAAAGGAGGAAGGGCGAATGGACTGTAATCTCCGGATACAAGTCGAGCCCCCGGTGTGCATGCATGGGCACCGGAAGCAAGCGTCCCTCAAAAGAAGAGAGCGTCCCTATGTCAGTGAAGAAGATATGGTGGGAAGGAACGTCACAGTGACGAAACAGTGGTGGAATCATATTCTGATTTTATGCGTATATATCAGTCTTTTCCAAATTTCCTATCACAACCGTACCCAGATTCTCCAGTGTTTCCTCAGTATATGTATATGTATCGAGTTTGTTTTGTAAACACACAGGTGCTCGTGTATGTACACGGCTACATCGGAAAATCAAGACAGGATAGTGAAATCTAGCTCTGGTGGCTCTCCCTCTCCAATTTCTGCATAACGCATAAGTATCTCTCCCGAACGTGCACCAATGAAATCGTTCTCGATATAACCCTCTAGGAAACGTTCATTTTCAAGATAATATGCTCGTAGACCATGTAGCAAGTCGAGGAATCGTATGCCCGTACACATCTTGCCCGCGTTGTGAGGGAAGTCTTCGACATATAGCACCAGCGGAGGTTCGCGCTCGTCCTCATCGTCCTCATCGTCGTCTACGCCGTGAGATTCGTCCTCGTCGTTTGGTGCTTGATCCCCACTTCCATGCTCGGTTCCGCTCTCTTTGCCAGCTAGAGTGGTCTTGCCCCCGACAGAACGGCATACGAGGTGCAGGTATTGAAGACTCGGTTCTTCCTGCTCGATTATACCAGGATATACCATAGCCTCATGTAGTGGAGGCCAAGAGATGAATTGCATTCTCCACGAAGCTTCCTGGGCTGCCATCGGGCTGAGGTGTGATGCTGTGGTGAAGTCCGGCGAGTTGACCTCAGATACTTCGAGAGATGGAAACCACCGCAGACGATCGATGACAAACGAATTTAGGATGCGCGGAGTCTCAGCGACTTCGGCAACTCTGGCGTTGGAGGCGAATATTGCTCGTTGAAGTGGCGGTAGAGTCGTGATCAGTGAGTGCCAGACGGAGCTGACACGTTGAAGGCGCAGCAAGTCGCCTTGCGGGAGGAAGCGGAGAATATTGGAAAGCAACTCTGGAGTACTGAGGACTTCTCCCCGCCGACTCTCGGTAGGTTCGTGGTCCATTCAGCTTGCGGTGCGATAGCGGTCGGGAATGTGTTTGCGATGATGGCGGTGGGGATCAAAAGTGAGAGTGGCTTGAGGTTGGGTGTGAATGTCGATAGAATACTCTAAAGTAAGTAGGTAACTTTAGTGCCTTACATCCTACCGATGCAAGCGCCTTGCGAACCCCGCCCGACAATCCTCCACTATAACTCCTACATGTGAATACCACCTAGGCACCCCCATACAGCCCAGGGCAGTCCATACCGCTCTTTTGCTTGCATCAGTGTCCCCAAGGAATCCACCGACCCTCCAATAACTGCCGTGTACATCACTATTATGGAAGGCCGAAATTGTCATTCATAGTGCCCACAGTTGCAGGGACGTGGATAGGATCACCGGATCCTGGGAGATCTTACTGCAAGGTACCCGCAATTCTGCTCAGCCGAGAGAACCGCCACATACTGCGCATATCATCTGAGTTGTCTCCCTCTCCCACCGTATTACAAGGCAACATGCTGATCCTCTATCTTACTGCAGCACGCTTATGTACAGCCAATATGATCGGAGTGGTACTAGACACTAAGGTCTTCAGTGTTGCTCCCATGGTGTGGCATTGTATCAAGTCATGATGACCCCGTAAACACGATCGCCTCGTTCCGTCTCTGGCCTCTCTACTGATGCAGTGCCTTAGTATGAACCGAACTGATGAGGAATAGCCGAGCGTATCATCTGCTCCATGGGAACAGTATGTATACCAGCCGCATCGCCGGTTGTGTTTGTAGGAGCACTCTCGCCATCCTCCAATTATCTTCAAGATGTGGTTCCAAATGCTCTCGCTCTCCTCTTCTCTTCTCCTCCTTTGCGAACTGGCCCTTACTACCGCCGTCAGTTTCGACCGGATTACATCCGTCGTCAATGGTGCGGCGGAATACTCAGGCACAGCCGTTTCCGTATTCAACCCTCTTCCAACCTTGATGTACAACTGCGACGAGATGCCGGCGATTTGCAAAAACGTCGAACAGTACATGAATACCAACAACCTTGCTCCTATGGGAGCCGGCTGGGAGTTCCATTATCACAACAGTCCGGGCAGTAAAGGACATACCAAGAGAAGAGGCTCCGCTGTTTGTCCAAGTACCTGGGCAAAGAATAGGGTTCCTCAATGCGGCACCGATCCCACGCAACCGAACGTCGTCCCGGGCAACCTTCCTCCCATCGTCATGGCCAAAACTGCGGCGGGCTTAGGGAAGTTCAATTACGAGATCCCCGACACGACCGGAGCCTCTAGTGGTATGGCATTTACCTGTGACGAGTTCCCAGCGAGATCGTGAGTGTCCCAAACAGTGCCCCACCTAAGTACCAGATATTTACTTTTTTTTTTGCAGTTGGATTGAAGGGGGAACTGGTCCACAAGGCCGAACAACATCGACATACTGCGCGCCCAAACAGGTCTCTTGTGCGGGCACTCAATGGAAGGCTGTGCTGGCTACGAACCCGAATTACCCTGACACTGCGAGCGAGCAGGACTGGCAAGGAAGGGCCCACGCTTTCATTGGGGTATGTAATTATGTGGTGGCTTTGCTACTTAGCATACATTGTACTGACTGTGGTGCTCCCATAGGCTTATGCGGCGGCCAGAAGTGCTGATGTGATGAAATTTCACTTCACTACCACGCGCATGGGCACCAACGCCGTTCGAACCGCTGTTCAGGTTATTCTACCCCAATACGAAAAGTTAACGACAAAAACTCTTGTGAAAACGACGATCACCTCTACCCTGACCATCGTGGCGAACACGAAAATTGCCCCCGTGCGTAGAGACAACCAAGATAATGCCAATCCCGCTGCTGAGCCAACAACGAAGACGACGATGGCAACACCGACACCGGCGTCGGCGGCGGGTTTCATGAGTGCGAAGAACGCTAAATGCAGGGGTGGTTTCTGTGATCACTTGGAGAAAATGATGCGTTCCGCAATTCCTGCGCAACGGCGTCGTGCACGCTCGTTGCCCGAGACGACGCAAAGGCCGGCGAATGATGATCCTCAGATGCCTGGGTTTGTCGTCGTGGACATCATGGTGTAGGTTAGCTCGGACTATTGGGATATTATGGGTGGTGGCGAGGGGTATTTGTGGCTGGCAAATTGGTACGGAAAGGATGATGTATTGCTTTTTGTTTTGTGATTAGTAGTTAGCTTTTGTACTGCAGTTATGTACCGTAAAACCGTCCCGTAAGCCACACCTTAAGGCGACGTCCATCGTACATAGCTGCCTCATAATTCACCTAAAAATCTATTCTGTTTCCGCCTCGACTTATCACGTCTTCCCGTTGCTCGGATGTGACATTCAATCGCCTAGGTTGCGGCTACCTAACTAGATTTTCCTTCTCAATCTAGCACAGAAGGCCGATATTGAGCTGCCTCACAGCACTGATTCCATTCACTGAAAAGGTGAAGAGACTACACCCTCATATCACTGCCTGTCATAACATCCAACCACGCAAATAATGCCTTCTCATTTTTCGACCAGGGTCCTCTATATGAATCTGCCTTCCTTCCTAACGATTCTCCGGATATCTCAAGATCAGGTACTCTGTTTACTCTGCTTGATCAACGACGACGAAGTGATTTCGAACATGCCGGTCCCAGGATTCCCGGAGCCGATCCAAGGCCGCTAAACGCAGATCCGGGGAAGAACGAGGTGGAGAGAGCTTAGCGGCTGATTAGTCTTTCCATGGTTAGCGTAACTTCACTCATCTGGTCTGTGCTATGTATTTTTCACAACGCACGACTGGAGACGAATCGGCCATTCAACAATTATGCGACCAAAGCAAATCCTCAGTAAAACTATTTTGGTAATAACACTACAATATTGCGGGGTGCGTTCTTTTTCTACCCACTTTCTGTCATGTTATGTCCATTGTCTTCGTCGCGTCGACGCGTAAGATGCACATTTTTTTCTGCAGAATTGCTGTGACTGGAGAGGGCATCACGTAGTTAACGTGACTTGAAGGGTAATTATCAGATAACTTTTCAGCCCCAAGGAGGGCATTCTGTGCTTTTGCTCATTCTCCTTCACACTCGGTGACGCTGACTAAAGCGGGCCGGTGTATGCAATATCCATCCCTTCCAATTCCAATTTCAGTCCAGCTACCGGTACGGGATCCTCAAGGTTTTGCCCCATCAAAAGCCCGAACGCCTTGTGCGTTTCGTCCTCCGCCCCGACATTTCCGGAAGTTAGATCACCCAGGTATATATACCGGCATCGGATACTTAAATGCCCCTTACACACTCGGATACTCTTCTTCGTGGAACCACCGTGTAACCCAACAGTTGAAAATTAATCACCGATTCACCGAGAACACCTTAAAGTTATCGCCTTGTAGTTATTGCATTAATGGTTATAGACGCCAATTATACTATGTAGCCGAATACCAGCCCGGATGAATCACTGATTGAGGTAGCATAACGTATGTACATCGGACCACCGAGAAGAAAGGAACAAATTAAAGAAGGAAGTAGATTCTATATCAGCAAATAAAAATGCCGGTAAACCAATTCCATTGCGACACTCGGATTCGACATTATCAGCTGTTCCCGCGACGCCTGCCTACGGGCTATGCTATAAGGTATTATTGATTGCTTGGCCCCACGGCCAGCCCTATGTACATATAGATCTTCAGTGGAGGAGTCATCTGAATATATGTCCTGGTAGAGTTGGGCGTTGATATATGTCAATGCTCGGTATAAGCATATGCCTACCAATAGATTGAACAGGATGGCCGCGTCCTACGCCGGCGCAGGTACGATAATCCCCGCATGATAGTCGTGCCTGCGCACTGGTGGGCGCAGCCGCGCAGTAGTGATAGCTTATTTCAAAGTTCCGCAATAGCACGACTTTGGCAGATTAAAACTGGCATCGCCGCCGGACAAGGCACGATGAGGCTAGAGTTACAACTGGGGTACTTAAGTATGTACAAGCAGCTTTATATCACCATAAATCATGTCTCTTCGGCTAGCTCTAGCGGCAGGTTCTCGCAGTTCTTCTTCTTCTTCATCTATGATCTATCCACATCACATCACCATGCTCGCCTTCATATTCGTACATAGCCCTTCTGGGCGCTACCGCCGGTATCGTAACCTCATCGAACCTTGCGAAGTGTCAGTGGGTAGGCGTGGGTGGTTGCAGTGGACAACATCCGGTTTCGAGGCGCGATTGCCAGTTTTGCTGCAATGGATGTAACCGCAGTGGGACGGGATGCTGTCCCGCCGGGGCCTTTTGTTTATAGGCTTCGTGCATGTAGATTCTAATGTGGTTGAAGAGAAGATCCGTGTGGTCTTTGTGGGTTGCAATACATAAGGTCGTATTCACTCGCGGGACTCATTGCAAGTCACTCTTTCCTCCACCTATGCCAGACGTGTAGCGGGCTGAAGACGTGTGTATTGGCGGATCCCAGAGGCCGCTGAGGAAGATGCAGCAAGCGAGGTGTCCGAGTGGAACTCGGGAGCTAAGGGAGCGGGAAGAAATGGAGGCGGAGCTGAGGCGAGAGGAGGAGGAGGGGGGTGCTGGGGTTGAGGAGCCGGGATCACCCCCGCTGCTCCTCCCCACACCCACCTTCATGGAATCTCCTGGGGAAGAGGCAGGAGGTGAGGCGGAGTAGGGAACGGAATTGTCTTGTTCTAGTGTCATATCTTTGGTATGCTCTACTTATGTAGCTGGAACAGCCCAGGGCGGAGGGCGGGGGAAGCCACACCGGGCTGCTCGATGAAAGTTGGGATGGACAGCAGCGAGGAAACGGAGTGTGAACATGTATATTGCCATGATCTAGCTGGTCGCATGCAATCAGAGATTAAACAAAAATCTTACATCGCTTTGGCACTCTGGCAGAAGCGACGTTTATATAAGGAAGATGGTGGAAATACAGTCTCCTATTATTGGATTATCCTGCAAGGAAAGTAGTAGCCGTGTGCTCTTTGGAGCACCAGTTGATAAATTGCAGAACGCTTCTTCAATCACGAAAAAAGCCCCCGCGTGGCCTTGTGACCACGCACCCGGCGGAGGAGGATTAAACACCAATTCAATTTCTAGGGGCTTCCAAGCTACCCATCGGGGTGACAAAGGTTTTTGTTTTTTGTGTTGGTTCCCCACCACAGTAGAGTAGGTACCAACTTTTGCCAGAGTCTAGCACAGTATATCACTCGATGTGTGAGTGATCCCACACGATGCAGAAGTCTTGCATCACTATTTCGAAAGCCACGTCGGGGCGCTCGATGAAAGTTGGGTTGAACAGTGGTGTAGAGCAGGAGTGTAGATGTGTTGCCATGATCTAGCTAAATCGCATGTAATCAATGATTAAACAAAAAAAGGAGACGTGTATACTCTTTCATCACGGATTTCTATCGTGAGTCGAACGTGCTATTGGCGAGCCCATGCTCCTCTGGAATAGTCAATAAACCGCCCAATCAAGCCTTGACTTTTCTCGACTCCATCCGGGGCTGTGTGATCCATAATCTTTCGAGTCCATCGTGTAGGGATTGATAATGGAGTACCTATACCATGTATGTACAGTTGTAAAGAAATAATATGTCACCGATGGCTGAGATGATGAAGTTGTATACTTACCTATCGTGTTCATATAGAACTTCATAGTGCTGATCTGCTCTCGCAAGTGGACAAATCGCCACCTAAATTCTGGGGCACCGAGCAAGAAGATAATGCATCTTGACGTGCGAATAGGAACTCCCTCTTCGTCCTATTGCGCTGTCTGTGATGGTCATCCCCGAATACTAATACAGACTAATACCACAGCGTTTTGTGCTCTGCTTTTCAAGCACTGCTGTGGTGTGCACTTCGCGATTTCTTATTTCTATGTTAAGTATATATCGAGTGACAACTATGATGCCGAGTCGCTGCCGTGTGCGAAGACGGACCGATATAGTAGCGAGGTCTAGACCGAACCGGCTTCAGTTTACCTAGTCTAAATTTCACTCCCTTCCAATTCCGACCTTTCTCCTGTCTCAAACATCCCCACAAAGTCCGTCAATTCGAAACTACATACCTACCCAACCCGGTAATTACAGGTCCTAGTCTGAGACCTCCATTCCCCGGTTCTCCTCTATGTAAATACTCAAGAGAGCCCCAAGCGTTTTTCTGTTTCACGTATGTATGTAGGATGCCATTGGTGATTTCCCATTCCTAGTAGGTGGCGCACCGAGTGATATACATGGTTCGGACACCAACAGCATGCACAGCCGGACTGACCGAATGCCACATCGGCTACATATATGTATAGCCCACACGTCTTGGAACATTGTTGCGGTGCTTTGAACTTGGCGTGGGGGGTACATACATACATACATACAAAGGTGGCTTGGGCGACGCATCCAGTGGTATGTAACGTACGATCTTGTGTGGCGCTCATGCTACTAGTACATGGGCAGCTGAAGATTCGAGACACAGGATGTGAGACGGGGGAATAAGCGTGGGGTACATAACCCACGTAAGAGCTAGGGAACTGGTGGCGATTGATAGTGACGGTGACGACGATGACGAGTAATCACAGTACCCTAAGGCACGCCAGACGCCCGACGCCCGACTGGCTGATGTTTTACGGATCAGTTGTCCCGTGGCCATCTAGATACCTATGCGGCTGGAAGGAGGAAGGCAAGTAGCACGTGCATACGGACGTGCGTACCTTGTGCTTCTTCTCCCTATTCCTTCCAGCATGTCAGAATGCGCATTCCATGGGGACGGGGTGGGGTGGGGTGTGAATGTATGTGTGTGTGACTGAGGTATTTCCACCACTTCCATCCGGCAACATCCTGCATCCAGGCAGCAAGGCTGGCTGTCCCGGAATTCTTAAGTGCACATCCGTCCGCTGCTTTCTAACATTCCACGGAGGGTTTCGACGGGTACGGCTTCCACGCGGGGGGAAAATATGCCGAGATCCAGAAGAAAGCCCCCGGTACCACGCGGTCGTTTCGGAACACTACCTAGTCTAGTAGTTGCTCCTACGGTACATAGCAGGCCGCGGCAGTGATGATTGAGTTGAGGGGCTGCTTCCCCTGCCCGCTGGCCGCTGGCGTGGCCCCCCCTCGCGTCGGCTCCGACTGAATGGTCCCGGGATGATGCGATCCCTTTCCGAAGGCATGCAAGGAGAGGATTCGGTTCCCAGATGACGGAATGTCGGGATTGAGTGAGATATGGAAACTCGCTAATCATTTCCGAATATGAATAATTCTAGAATTCTTCTGCTCAGTGATAGGGCTTGTGATCTGATGTGACACGGGGATGGGTAGGTATCGATGTGCATTGTGCATTTGGGATCCAGTGACCGTGGAAAAGAATATCTAGGTCTTTGTCACCTTCAAGACACCATTAGCAATCTCTGCACTTTCGAACGAGCGCCTTATTTTCTCTAGGGATATCGGATACGGTGCTCGTCAACGACATCACCAAGCAATGTTGAGCCAGGACTTTGGCTTATCCATCGTTGTTGCGAACCTCTACCGATAACTATGGGAACGGTAAGCATCAGTTCACAAGTAGTTACGTCACCCCTTGACCTGCCATTGCGATTGTGGCTGGGGTGTATGCGTGTTGGTAAGGCTTTATCATGCCTAGTAAACGACGAAAATTCCACGGCCACCATTTATCGACCCAATTGTGCACGCTCACACGTTGCCGCCCGGCCTGTAACGTGGGGGGTCCAACTGCATAGCTGGAAATCTCGCGCGTATAGCACTTTCGAGTAGGTAGCCACCCTCGAACCGTCGGTGTTGCATATTTGGAGTCTGAGCATCCAGTGATCCGATCGGATATGCACTCGAATGACGAGGTACTCTTACTACAGTTGGAGAAGCTAGTCAGTGAGGCCGGAGAGTATAGCGACCGTATCACAGAGTCTGGCCTTTTAGTGGAGCACCGGAAGTTGTGGTCGGCTTCGACTCGTGACATCTCTCAGGAAGTCCGGTGTATTCCGCTCCGAGACTTCGCCTCGCCTCTGGCCCGAAGGGATCGGCTCTATATGTACAATACAGGATGAAGAGCTTCCAGAAGCTAGGTACCCGGCGATCCTTCAGGAACCGGATTGAATGGGATCTTCGAAGAGCCAGAAGTCGATCAACTCAATTCGTATTGCGGATGTTAGGGTTTGACGGAAGATCTCATGGTTCGCTTATCGAAGCTTTCGAAGGATGGTGGACCGTGGTACATGCATGGATAGTGGGCTAAGTAACTTCTTCCGAAACAACAACCAGAGTCCAGACGCCAACCAACGGTCGAGCCTTTCCTGCCTGTCACCTCATCTTCGCCTCCACCCCTCACGACCGAGTATCGCCACCACTAACTAGTCCCCACAAATGCCGAACGAGCGAGACGTCGTCCTGATCGAGCGCGACGAGTCGGGTAGCATTGTCGCCCGCTACGGACACTCCACCGCCGGCGCAGGCACACGAGCTGCCGTGAGTGCTCCCGGTTCCGGGAAAGGAGGAGATCGAAAGATCGCGACAGGTTTTTGACAGCTCCACCACTCGGAATGGATGGCTGATAGGGGAGGGGGGCGGTTGCAAACAACAGGCTACCGAAAAGCTAGCTCCGCAGCGGCGGCGGCCTTTGCTACAGCAGTTGATCACTATATTCCTTCCTGCAGGGTTTCCCGCCAGCGTCACTGAGGATTATGTTGGGTAGCACTCTCTCCCTCTCACCTCCCGTGATGAACGTGCTGGCTGCTGGCTGCTGCCGCCACGCCGCGCACCTGGCCCCATTGGCTAGCCCCCAGAATGCCATGCTGCGCGTTGTTTATCGAAGCCTCCGGAAGTTGTTACATGCAGCGGTACATTGACTGACTGCTGTATGTATGGCATCGACGGTACCAAGGTATCAAATCTTTGTACGGCATTATTCCGAATCAATTTATACGAGCCCCCATGCAGGGTGATATTGATTTCGTTCAGGACTCTCTACAAGCATTCTCCTCGTCCATTGCGAGCCTCCTCACTTCTCGGGCGGTTCTCCAAGGTGCGGCCTCCTTCTTTCGGATTCAATTGCGCGGATATAGGTATTCTGCACAAGGGCGAGGGAAAATTGCTAATCCGAAGACAGGTTTCGGTGTCGGGTGCGGACCATATCTACTCTACTTCCATTGCCCACCAGTCGCACAGTGTCGGCCGTTTCTAACCCCACGGTGCTTGCTTCGATATAGAGATGCAAACGCCTCAGCGACGAGCGCTTTATTGCTCACCATCGTGCAAGGTCCGATTGCTACCATTCCCAACGATCCCCCAAGCTCCCAGGGTAATCTATGGAATCTGACATGCTGGCGTGGGTCATATATTGAAGATTCTGTTGGCCGCGTCGCCACTATCCTGTTCGCTTACAAGTTTGGTCCCGCGCTGGAGGCTGAGTGCAAGACGTACCGGTTCCTTGCCGACATCTTTAACGATTCTGCCATGGTCATGGACTGTTTATCGCCGGTGCTCCCCCGGCTGGCGCGTGTCGGATTGCTATGCGTGTCAGGGTCGTTGCGGGCTTTATGTGGCGTCGCCGGCGGGGCGTCGAAAGCGAGCCTGAGTGTCCATTTCGCAAAGTCCGGCAATGTGGGCGAACTGAACGCAAAGGTGAGTAGATAGTCTTTCCCAGCACCGAAATGTAGGAAGTGCATGCGGGGCTGATGGGACGCACGTGGGCTGCGGATTGGCCATCAGGACTCCAGCCAGGAAACAGTGATTAGTCTCATGGGGATGCTGGTAAGCCTCGCGTTTTTGGTTTCATAATTCTTCTGTCACCCGTAGTCACCCGGGTGGAGGCCGAGTTCCGTGGAGAAAGCCGTGGGAAACAATTGGACTTGGTAAGGCTGAGGCGGAGTGTATCCGCTCAACCGGAGGGGCGGTTGGCGGCGGCATTCGACGGAACGGCGCGATGCGGTGCGGTGGTGAAATGATCGTGTGCTCGGAATTGACCGCTAACCTCCCTCGCCACTGGGTCTAGGTGGGTAGCTTCGTCGTCTCACACATCACTTCTCCGGCGGCGACCTGGATTGCGCTCATATCCTTGTTGGCGGTTCATCTGGCAACAAACTACAAGGCTGTCAGATGCGTTGCCATGCGGACACTCAACCGCCAGAGGACCTGCATCGTGGTTTCGCAGTTCCAGCAAACAGGAATAGTCCTGACGCCGAAGGAAGTATCCCGGCGCGAGCGTGTTCTCGAACACGATGGCATTCTGAGATGGGGCGAACACTCTGTTCTCGGATTTGGAGACGTGGGCGTCCAATTTGCCACTGTGCTGGCCTCGCTTACGGTCGAAGTCGCATCGTTCGACGACAACGCTTCCAGACGGTGGATCCAGGAAGTCGCGGCGATATTCCGCATGCAGAAGTACATGCTGTGGCCAGCTACGACTATGGGCCGGCGCCGTCTGCTGCTGGCCGGCTCTTCCCTTCCCACCGTCTACATTTGCCTAAAAGTGGGAGCAACTGCAAACGATCAAGTGAGGGCATGGAGTCACGCACTACTCGTAGCGAAGGAGCTGGTTTCTCGGCGGCAGCGACGGACGCGCCAATCGTACGATAAGAAAAGTGATGACGATGACGGCGGGATGGCGGTGGTGTCGGTGGTGTCGGAGAGGGTTGCAGTTCTGCAAGTCACAATGGATGAGATGGATGGGAAATTCGCGGCGCTCGCATCGCAGCTGGCAGAGAAGGGATGGGATCTCGACACGGCGTGCATCGAGACGAGAAGTGGCTTTCGAATCACGGTCATCGACGCTGACCACGACGAAAACCCCGACCACGACCACGACCCCGGCGAGGTTCCCGGCACCAGGGAAGCGCGCGCCGACGGCTCCTCCTCCTCCTCCTCCAGTGACGGTGGCGTGGTCGAGACCAAGACCGAGTCGCCTCCCGCCTATCGCGAAAGCAAAAAGGCAGTTTGACGGCTCCGATGACACCCGCCTGTTGGACAATCTGAGAAGAGGGTTGACAGTTGTTGGGGGGGAGTCAGGCTCGGCTTTCTTTTTCCGTAAGGGAGAAGTGGATTAGGCGACGTGGTCGCGTGGGAAGGAGTGTGAGATGAGCGTGCGTTTTTTTTCTCTTTCTCTCTCTCTGTGTCTGTATGCTTTGCGACGAGGAGCGAATTTTCTGTTCATTGTTGGTTGGCAGGCCAGGCTCTGGTCCGTGTGTGTATGAGGGTCAAGGTTTCATTCGTGGTGGAGATGGATGAATGAATGATGTCGTCGACGGGATGCTTGTCGTTTGGGGCTCGTGTGTGCACTGTGCTTGGAACAATTGCAGGCTTCTCGAACACTTCCGAGTTTAGAAGGAGGAAGGCAAAAACACAGCAAAGGCAAAGCTTGGTTTATTGCTTCTTCTTCTTTCTTTCTGTCGCGCGCCCCCTTTCTTGCATGCACGCACGCGGTACCTTTTTTTTTGCTTTCTTTTTCTAAAGCACGCACATACTCAGAGAAACTGTATGGCCGAATCGCAATTACAACAGAGCTTGCGCGAGCTGTAACTTGTTGTTTTTTTTGCATTTGATTTTACGCATAACGCTGCATGCGCCGCCGCCGGAGCCCGGACTAGCTCGCAAGAGGGGGGTTAGACCAGACCATACACCGTAGACCGGGCCCATAGGGAGAATCACAATCTCAGCGGGAGACAGGGAGAGAGGCTGAGGGGCGGGGAGGCTCGCGCACGTTGCCTACTCCAGACATTATTCCGGGTTGCTATACCTACTCTACTCTACTTTCTGGAGTGAGTGCGAAGGCTGGTCGTCGGGACACATCTCCATCTCCATCTCGGTCGGACGAGGATGCTGACGGGGAGGGGGATGAGGGTGTGCTGACCTCCGCTCCGTCTCCGTCTCCGTTTCCGCGCCGAGCCGCACTGCGCCGCGCCGCAGGGTCCTGCTATAGAGTAGCTCTGTGTGATGCATCTGTGTGTATGTGCTTATGTAGATATGCATGTCTATGCTACCTACGTCGACGGAGCTCTCCAGCTCGGCTGGCTGGCTGTCCCCTTGGCTGTCTGGCCCCGTGGTCGAGTCGTGTGGCATTCTGTGGTCTGCTAGAGCGTAGTAGTCGTAGCATCATACCGTAGCAGGAGTTGTAACATCATACCGTAGCAGCAGTTGTAGCATACCTACCATGGTTAGCATCAGCAGCAGTTGTAACCTGTAGTGGGTAGTCAACGCTACCTCCACGCTACCCCATGGTATCAAGTGGCATCAAGTGGCATCAAGTGGCATCACCAACGTAAAATTGAGCGATCCCCAGGCTCCAGCTGTATCGGAGATTAAAAGGGACTGTTCAAAGTTCCAGTTCCAGCGCACACCGTAGGTAGTTCATACTCCAGACTCCAGAGTCGAGAGTGAGTCCAGAGTCCAGAGTCCGAGTACCAGGTAGGTATGTCTCGGTCGGTGCTGGCGGTGCTCGCGGTGCTGATAAAGACAAGTCCACACGGCTACGGGTATGGTACATACGGTGCATACGGTGCGGGCATGGAGGTCTCGGAAAGGACGGCGCTGTGATTTCCTTTTCCTTTCCTTTTGCTTTGCTTTGCTTTCCGTTCACGTTGATGATTGCGGTGATCGGTGTGCCTGCTGCCAGACTATGTACCCACTAGAGTACCGGTACCATACTCACTGCCAGTGCGAACCGGGGAGCTCACGAAGCTCTGCTCTGCTATGTATGCTATGCTCACGATCGGAAGTAGAGTAGGTACTCTAGCTAACTAGGGTTGATGGATGTCATTCAATCCTACATATCCAATCCAATCCAATCGATCGGCCACCCAGCGACCGACCACACGCAGTGCGCACACACGGGTTCCATCCCCATGCCCATCCCCAATGCCCATCCATCCCCCGTCCCCATCCATCCCGTGGACCCGTGCCGTGTGTGCTCACTGCTGGGAGGGGAGGGGAGGGGAGTCGGGCTTTCTTTGCTTTTGCTTTTCTTGTCTTTCTTTTCGGGAAAGTCCACGCCCGACGCGTACTCCATCAAACTCCATCAATGATCAAACTCCATCAATGATCAAACTCCATCAATTGATAATGGCTTTTTTGTTTGTTTTTGTTTTTTTTTTTTTTTTTTTTCTGTTTTGTTTGTTTTGTTTGTTTTGTTTGTTTGTTTTGTTTGCGCACATATTCTAACTACAGAACGAAAATAAAACAAAACCAAAGGGCAGTTTGTTCCCTCGCTTTCCCACCTCGCGTGAGCTCCGTGCCGGGCTCCGTGCTTCCGTGCTGAGTGAGTGCATATATTCTCCACCTTCTCCACCTTCTCTACTCTAGAGTAGAGTAGGTACGGTATCTCGCCGCGAACTTCCCATCAGACGCCGGCCGGACTGCCCTCTGCCGTGAGTATCCAGTGAGCGTACGATGTGTGGAGTGACCGCCCGCGCGAAAAGCACGAACTTACTCTACTCTACACAGAAGGAAAAAAAAGATGAAAAGAACCCGGCGCGATCCATCGACTGCGGGCGCGGGCGCGGGTGCAGTGGCGGAGGCGAAGGGCTCGCGCTCCGAGTCAGGAATCAGGAATCAAAATCAGGTGAAGGGCACGGAATCAGGAATCAGGCACCGTGTGGCGCCACTGGCCCACTGGTCAGAGTACTCTAGAACACTCCACCTCCAGCGCCACAATTGCCACAATTGCCATAGTATCACCACCCGGGAACGACAATCGGGAACAACAAGGGAACGACAAGGAACGCCTAAGAACGACGATGTCTCCTTCCCTCCTCCATCGCGGCTGCATACACTGCATACACTGCATACACTGCATACACTGCATACACTGCATACACTGCATATCATACATATCATACTGCATGGAGCACACATCATATGTATATCTATACCAGTATGTATGTACGAGTACCTACGGGGATGGAGAGAACTTGACAGAACCCTGATCGATCTGCAGGTGTTTGCCATTTTGCCATCTATTTGCCCTCTATATATGTGTTTATTTAGTTTCAATCCGGCACTCCTCGTTCCGCTAATCCTCGTTCCTCGTTCCGCTACTGGGGGGCAGGGTGGGGATGAGGGACTGGGATCGCACGAGGAAGAGGAAGAAGAAGGAAGGAAGGAAGAAGACGTCGTCGTCGTCGTTTTCGGCCGGCCAAGAGCAAGAGTGCTCACTGAGTAGGTGAGTACACTGCTTATGCTGTATGGGTTGTGGGTTGTGGGTTGTGGGTTGTGGGTTGTGGGTTGTGGGTTGTGGGTTGTGGGTTGTGGGTCACCTGTTGCCTTTGATTTCACTCTCCCACTCCCACTTTATTCCATCTACACACTCTACACACATACCCTGCTGTAACTTGCTGCAGCCTGCAGGTGGGCGGATGTCCAGGAAGGGGAAGTCGCAGAGTCGCAGAGTCGCAGTGCGCAATTCATTCAAAGCTTGGCGGGTGGGGAGGAGTTAGAGTGGATAGACGCGCGATCGGCCGTGGGCCATGGGCCATGGCGACGGGTCGAAACGCTGTAGGCGCGTGAAGCCTCGGGTTTTCTTGGGTTTTCTTGGGTTTTGCTAAGCCCGAATGGACGGCTGCGATCCGAGAGCGGTATGCACTGGTGGAGTAGAGGTTACGGTGATTGACCGCGCTGAACGCTCGACGCTGGACGACGGCGAGGAATGGGGCTGGTTTTTTTCTTTTTTCGCTGGGTTGAAGGTTTGAGGTTTGATGCCGATGGTGGAATGGACCAGCTACATACCACATACATGAGTTGCTTGCGTACGAGCCAGCTCGATTATGTATTATGCTCACTGGTTGTACTGTACCGCAAACTCGCAGCGAATAGGTACCCAGAGTAGCAGCGGTCCATTCCAGTCCTGTCCAGTCCATCCGGTGGACTCTACTCTAGATAGTTACGGCGCTGGAATACCGACCAGCCAAGTCAAGCTGCTCTTTGCACCGATGCCCAAGTATGAAGGAGCAAGACACCTTTGGGGACGACGGCAAGTTGATTGATTGATGCTTGAATGGATTACCAGCACCTATCTCTGTACTCTATGGCGCACGGCCGCCGAGAGCTGGCAGCTGGCAACTGGCAGTTGGCCGCTGGCAATCCACCGCCAACAAACTACCGTCTGCAGCGAGAACCCGACAACCAGACCCTCCCCCTCCCACCGTCCCCCCTCCCCCCGACCTGCAGGCGCACCCATTCTGGCGGTTATTCCGCTAAATCCATCACACTCCACTTCACTGTGCGCGAGGAAGGAAGGAAGGATGGAGGGAAGGAATGTGCGACATTGTGGGTGCACTGGGACTGGGTGGGTCCATCCCCATCTCCCTCCATCTCTACGAGTACATATCTCCCATCGTTCGCGGGTGGCGCGGTGAACCGCCGCGCTGGTACGCCGAAGCTGGTACGCGGAAGCTGGTACTTGGAAGTTGGAGGGCGACAAGCGTTCCAGCCAGCGTTCCAGCCAGCCTTCCATTCCAGGAATGTTTGCTAGTAGTATAGACATAGCTTTGTCGCGGCTCATGACTTACGACCTACGACGAGCGGGGCCTTTAACTGGTAACTGGTAGAGTAACTTGCAAGGCGGGCGGCTGGGCTGAGCTATGGTATCTATTGTCAGGTACAATACATATGGCGGGGGGGCAAGCCGCTGATCATGACTGACGCTCGCGCGCGCACTGAGATACGATGGTAATAGATTGCTTCACATCTATAGGCGACGAGACGAGCCGGGGGCGTCTGTGGACACTGGACACTGGAATTTTCTCGAGCTCACTTGAATGTGGGCGCAAACACCAGCTGTTATCCGGTCATCATGCCCACTGCCAAGGGGTGAGGCTGCGGCCTGCGGGTTGGGGGCTGGGTAGACGCAGGGATCGTGGAGTCGTAGAGTAGACACCTTCCCTTCCTTCGACCAAACCAACACGTGAAGCACTGAAGCTCCCTCCCTGGAGAATACTCTACATATCTAGAGTACTATACGATAGAGTGCTCGGTATGGTACAGGGTACATACGACATGTAGGTAGATACTCTATATGTATATTCGACGTAGGGGGTGAGGCCGAGGATGCTGGTAGTTATGCTGGTAGCTATGCTGGTAGTTATGTAGCATAGCATAGATATCCATTTACGCAGGATCGCTGGTCGACTCGGCAGAGCTCTGCGATCTAGCGGCCGGTGAACGAAAGTATCCGAGCGGGGGTCGTAGGGGGGGGGGAGGGGGGGGGGGGGGGGGGGAGGGGTGATGGGCAGAGCAGAGCTGAACTTCGTTTCGATCTTGACATCACCGCGCCGAACATATCCCCATCGCAAGGCTAATCCTGCGGCGACTCCCGGTGCAGTGTGTGTCGGTAGTGTATGTAGTGTACCAAGATCGGAGCGGAGCCAAAGATCCCGACGACGACGAGGACGGGTCTGACGCGGCCCGACGAATTCCTGCCATGGCCACCACCGGATGCAGCGATGCAGTGATGCAGCGAAAAGTTGTGCATGAGAAAGACTCCACCACTCCACCAACAATCATAATGCCCGTGCTATGATCACTCTCACTCGGGGGCGTCCCCCCTCCACTGACCGCTGACCAGGGGCCGTTCAGGTGGGCTTCGAACCGGTCGCGGCTCGTATGGAGAGTACCTACCAGAGTAGATGATAGAGTGAGCACACCGTGGCGACCTTCCTCTTCCCATTGCCCTTCACCCTTCACCCTTCCCCTTCCCGTCGCTTGCTGCTCGACATTCCCCGCCTGGCAGAGTGGGCTCGCTACTCTACTCTACTGCCGGTGTACTCTACTAGCTAGCAGCCTCGCACGAAACGAAACGGGCAGAAAGAGGGTGAGGGAGAGGTGAGAGGGCGAGAGCACTCGCAGGCGATGCAGCCGAGGGCCAAAGAAAAGCCCTTCGAGGCAAACCCGCCTTCTTTCGAGGTGATCAGATCGCGCAGTAGCAGCATAGACTACCGACTTGGGCAAGTAGCACTCTAGTTAGCAGGCCGACAAGAAGCGAATCCGGACTTCTAGATCTACGTAGCCTGTGTAACCCTCCTGGCGCGCGCGCGCCGTTCCTTTCGAGGGAGGGAGGGAGGGAAGGAAGGAACCACCAGCACCACCGCCGCCGCCGACGCCGTCGTCGCTCGCCGGGCGCAGAAAAGTTCCGTTGCTACGGACCGGGCAGGGCAGGGCAGCAAGGGCAGGGCAACACAATCATGGGCAGGGCAGGTTTTTGCTTGCTTGCTTGCTCGTTGCTCGATTTGCCTGGAAGTCCCTTTCGTTCGATTCGCGCCCGCCCGGTTTCTTTGTGAGACACGGACAAGACAGGCCATGCAGCAGCAGCAGCAAGCCCACCACCACCACTACCACCACCACCACCGGACTGGAGGGGGGGGGGGGTGAGAAGAGAGGAGAGGTGTGTGGTGTGGGTGGGTAAGGGTGTGGGTGCAGGGCTCTTTGTGCTCCAATGACGCGAGGCCCGTCTGCTAGCTCTATTCGGAGCGGATCGGCGAAGAAGGAACGGTCGTTTTCGCACTTGCTCGTCCCCCGGTACGGGCAGGGTTTTGGAAGTGGGGGGGAGAGGGAGGGGGCTTGTTCGGGCGGAGGTGTGTGTGGTCGTGCTCTGTGAGTGGTGGGCGTGGAGTGTTTGGTGACTGTGGTGTGTGGGAGGTGCTTCGAGAAGGTTAGTGGCTGTTCTTGCAAGCTGCCTACCGGTCGGTCGAAACCCCCCCCAGTTAGTTTTAGTGTGCACGTTTTTTTTGCTTTTCCATTCGTGTTCGGGGGGTGGCAGGTGGTGAGATCTCGCAAAAGATCACTGCATTGGCCCCCCCCCTTCCACCGTCGATTGTGTTTGATGATGATGATGCTGCTACTGCTGATGCTGATGCTGGTGATGAGCGGTGAATGAAGGGTAGTTGGCCATGGAAGCTGGGAAGGAACGAAAGGAAGGCTGACGATCAGTATTGCGAGACAGGTCACGGAGGAACAGAGAAATGGGCAGGCCCCGACGGAGGTGCCGATACTCTACGTATGGTATAACCGACTCGGAATGCCACCGGTAGCTATCATGCGGTACTGGCACCTTGTTACTAGTAGAGCCTCCACGAGTGTGGTGAGCATACGGTACTCTACCACAAAAGTACTTCTTCTGCACCGCGGCCGGGGAGAGTGAGCGTTTTCGGTGAAGGCCGTGCCAGAGATGCCGCTCGCTGCATTGCAGATGTACAGATATATCCATATCCTGTCGCCATACCGCCGGCCGGGGGAGGGGGGTATGTAGCTGCACGGAGCGACGGAGCAACCGGCGATAGAGTGGTGCTGGCCCATAACGGGTGGGCTCCATCATCTCCAGAGTACAAACTAACAAACTACCCCAGAGAAGGTGCGGTACGTATTCTGGAAGAGGGGAAGTGTGTTCTCAGGAGCAATCCCAGCCACGCACCCGGACTTCCGTGGCAGACGGGGGAGGGGGGGTGTGAAGGAAGGGGGGGTGTGAAGGAAGGGGGGGGTGTGAAGGAGGGGGGGGTGTGAAGGAAGGGGGGGCAGGCAAGCAAGCCCCACAGGCCGAGCACAGACGAGACAAGACGGGCAGGGCAGGGCAGGCAAGCAGAAAGGCAGTCAGTCTAGCGTAGCGTGGGTGTCTACCCTGGAGTGGTTACATACTCACCCGGGTTTGTACTAGGCAGTGTGTACCGGTTCGGGGGTAGGCAAGTTCGAGCAAGAGAAGACGAACTGCCTACTTCCTCTTACCTAGTGCACCTAGCTTCCTCGTCAGGCGCTTACCGCTACCCCATGGCAGGCAGAGGAATCATCTGTGGACCGTGGACGCTGGACGCTGGACGCTGGACGGTCGACGGTCGACGGTCGACGGTGGACTGGCCAGCCCTCGTGTCTGATTGGCCAGTGGCGTGCGTGGGGTCTCGAGAGTGCCACGGACAAGTCTCACCCTCGAGTCGAGAAGTCTCTCCATCCTGCTTGCGGCTTACGGGGACCGCGACAAATGAAAATGAAAAATGAAAAGAAAAAAGTAAAGGAACGAAGGAAGGAAGGGGAATGTGGTGACGGTCATGGCCGCCGCGTCGTTCTCTAGTCACTCCCTTCGTATCTCTCTCGAATCTTGAGCTCTCGGGCGCGCCACAGATACCAAAGTGGGCACTGACTTGTTGCTCCATTACCGTCTCACGGCCTAGAGTGCTCACTCAGCGATATCGTGATCAAACTGAGCGAGTTGCCCTGGGGCAGATAGGCATCGTGGACTAGGAGAATACCGGAGGAAGTCCTCCATATCTAAAGGTGGCTTTCGCAGCCTCTCCAGGGTTTTCACTACGCCGCCAATCCTCAGAACCACTGCCTACCAGTAGATATCAGGTATAGGTATCCGTCACATCGCAACGCTCGCGTCCATCCATCCCTCCTCCTTCACCCTCCTCCTCGTCCTCAACCACCACCATCACTGCCGCCATCATCATCACCATCACCGCCTTCACCACCACCACCACCACCACCACCACCACCACTTCCTCCACCACCATCGCCACCACCATCACCACCACCAGCACCTGCCCTCCCACACCCCCTCTCTCGTTCTTCTGCCTGCAGAAACACCGGCAACTGCCTTTGCATTAGTGCGTGCAGTCCCTAGACCCAATCCACTACCCTGTCCTGGTCTTCCCCCCAGTCCGCTCACCTTCGCACCCTAGACACCCTCCACCAGAAACCCACCACCACCGCAGCATCATACATATCGCGGGTAACCCCCCCGAACTGTACTACAGGAATTCTCCTGTTCAACAAACCTGCAACACACCACCATCACCACCACCACCTCCACCACCACTACAAACCGCACGAAAGAAGCACAGCCGGTGTTTGTTACCGCTCACACTCCACCCACCACCCACACTACTCTCCACTCGCAAAGCGGAGGCAATCAAGAATTAAGCACGCCAGAAAGCAACAGGGCTGGCTGTATATTATTGAAGGAAGAAGGGAGGACAAGAGTGGAAGGGAAGGATTCCATCGGTTTCGGACTGCGGAAAGCAAAAAGTACCTACATACTTTCTGGCACACCTCTCTCACCACATCTCATAATCCACCGTCATTCCCCTCCCCCTCGTCCGTTCGCTCGCTCGTTCGCCACTTGCACAACAACACCAACTCGGTCTCCTGTTCCTGTCGAACGACCCTCATTCCCTTACGAACCGTCCCGCTTCCGCTCTTTCGCCGAAAACCGTCCGACTCACCACCCCATCACCCCCCACACGAACCGACAAGTCGGCCTGCTCGCATTCTGTACCGACTGTCGACTGCCACTGCCAGTCCCATTCCTGCACCACCCGGTATTTGCTCTTTGATGCTAGCTTCCGCTACAAAATCAACTCCAGCGCCTACCACCTTGTGAAAGAGAGAAACAACAACAAAAATTAAGAATTAAACAAAAAAGAGGAAAGAACGAAATAAAAGGAAGTCGAATTCGTGATTCGAAAACGGGAACCCGCACCTTCTGGGATATCAACCGAAACGAATTCGGAATCATCTAGTCACCGCACATAATAGTTGTTACCTGCACCGGTCATATCCACTTTGCCGTCTTTCCCACCCTTCCGTTCGAAAAGCCATGTGAGTACCCGTGCGAAACGCCATGCACTCTTGCAGGTGTCGCAGGCAGTGATGTTCTGGCGCTTGTTTTCTGCTCTTTGGCACTGACGTTGTTCTAGTTCTCGTCGGAGAATATTAAATTACTTCTAGAGAATTTCCGCATTTCTTGCAAAAGTCGGCCGATCCCCACAGTTTGCCGATCCCTACCAATCACGTTGACCAAGTGCTGGCCAACGCCAGACCGATCTGCATCCTCCTACTCCCTCACCACCAACGACTTAGCTTCACACACACCCACACCCCCCAACCACACCAATCCTGGATCATTTCTGCTTTTTTCTAAGGCCGTGAGAAGGGGATATCTCGTTTATAACGAACCCCACCCCCCCTACCTACACACCCCATCCCGGTGGTTAATACCCATCAACAACAAAAAAACTCAATAGCATCCAACCATGACAGGACGTTCCAGATCACGAAGGCCTCCTTCGCTCGACTTGTCGATGTCGTCCCGCGGTTCGTCGCGGTCGGGATCACCTGAACCAGAGAGTGACGACGAGACCTCACAGCAGGAGTCTTGCTGCGAAACCATCGACGACCGACCACGGGAAGGCGAACGGATATTCCCATCCGGTCCCTACTGCTTCAAGCAACCCACCCTCGCCGACGTACTATCCGACAAAGCACCTCCACCATACTCACTGACGGCATTCATGGCATACCTATCGCAGAACCACTGCCTCGAGACCCTCGAGTTCACCATGGACGCCAGCCGGTACCGCAAGCACTACAGCTCGATCGCCTGCCCCAAAGACCGCCAGTCCGCGCCGAGTCAGAAGGATTGCGCCACCGTCCGAAAGCTGTGGCAGAGGCTCCTGGACGCCTACGTCGTTCCCAATGCGCCCCGCGAGGTCAACCTTCCTTGCAACATTCGCGACCAGATCCTCTCCGTCCCGAACCACCGAACACCACCACCACCAGAAGCACTCGAACCAGCAGTCAAGATCGTTCATGAACTGATGCAGGAGAGCGTGCTTGTTCCATTCCTCAGCGACTGTCAGCAGCACCACAACACCTTCGTCTCCGAGTCGAGTTGCCCTACTTCTTGGGGAGGTAACGCGTCGGACGAGAGCCTTTACATGCGCGGCTCCCTGGACGACAGGATGCTCCGATGCCGTCGCGACAACTCGCCGCCGAGCCCCGTCGACTGCATGTCCAACTCGTACCCGACCATCGCTCCTCCTCGCATCCCACGTACTACCTCGCCGTTCTCGGCCGCATTGGGCTGGCATCACCATAGCCGCCAGTCATCGAGTCATCAGCCGACAAGCAGCTGGGCTAGTAACGCCAGCGGGGACAGCATGACGATGATTGAGGATTCCGGCTCCAGCACTACCAGCTGGGGTAGCCCCATGACACCGCCAACCACGCCGCCTGCTAGCGAGATGACCCGAGGCCATTCACCCAGGAGCTCCGTCGACAAGGCCGAGAAGGGCTGGAAGCGGGTGACTGGAGGGTTGGGCAGGGGACTCGGATGGGGAAGGAAGAAGCCCGAGCACGGAAGCTACTGGTAAATCATCATCACTATCAACGCCATTACGATCACGATACGAAACATCTTCGAGATTCGGAGTATATATATTTCGACATCAATCCGAATCTCTGTACTACTATTACCGAACCCAACATTGTTATTTCCTTGTGACCTCTCTGGGGGAGTTATCAGGACTTTTTTTGCATTTTCATTGGGGATACTGTCCTCTCTTTCCTTCTCTTTTTTCCTATGTTTCTTCCTGGGGAAGGCTCGTTTGCAGCTTTTGTCTTTTTTTCGGTTTTGTTCGATTCGATTCAATGTCTATGTTTATTCTCTGGGGGAGTTGGGCACTTTTCAGGGCTCTCTCCCTTATTACCATCTTGTCTCTTTTCTTTTTATTTTCCACTTTGTATGCATCTGTTTGGCGTACTTTATCTTTTTTTTGTTTTTTGTATGTGGTCTGCGTGATCGCTTGCTTGCTTGCTTCCTTTCCTTCCAGGCGTACTGGGATCGGAGTTTTGGATATCCTACTTTTTGTTTGTTTTGTGTTTTTTGTCTGGTGTTCAAAGTCGCGAGTCTATGTTTCTAGGGTGTGGGCGGACTGCGACGGTATATTTTTTTGACAGCAAAACGGGCTTACTATTTGGGGGATGGAATAGGGAATAGGGAAATGGATATGGATGTGTACTACTTTACTTTTCTTCTACTTCTTCTACTCTTTCTACATTGAAGATATAGACTTCTAGGGAATCTGGACGGATATGGATTGGATTTGATTGGGTGGGGATCGGATTGGACTGGATATGGATTGGATGGGGGACTAGCTGGGGGATGATGGGCATGGGGCATGGGAGGATGGGTTGGGAAAGGATGGGGAATCGGCGTGTGCATTAGGAATTTATTGGCTTCAAGCTATATAACACTTCACTTCACTTCACTTCACTTCGCTTCACTTCGCTTCACTTCACTTCGTTGCTCTCTGTCTCTTTTGTGTTTGATCATTACTCTCCGTGCTGTTTTGAGTTTACGGGACTGTGATAGCTGCCATTTCTTGTGGCCTCCGACTCGATGAGGGTGCGATGAGAAATGGAATGCCTACGGAACCTTCTGCTGGTGCTGGTGCTGGTGCTGCTAGAACATTTTTTTGCCTGTGCTGCTTGTGCTGCTGTTGGAGGATGCTGTTGGAGGACAGTAATGGGGGGATCCGTCCGATAGTGACTGACAGTGACAGTGACTGTGGTGGCCAGCGGGAAGTCCGTCAACTCGGATCGGGCAGTATCAATGTATCATACCGTACGTAAGTACACGGCGCCACAAAACCCGTCCGCCGTCCGACACTGCACTCCGCCGCCACGCTCGCTGTTCGTAGTTCGCAGTTCGAGTCGAGCACGGCCGCGTTGGAATTTGGAAGTAGTACTTACATCATAGGTACCGTATCAGGCTTCAAGCACGGCCAGAAGATCCGGTACGTACACATGTGGCTTGACCTCCGAGCTCTAGTTAACCTCCGGCTTCAACCTCCGAGCCTTGACCCCCGACCCCCGAGCCACGACCCCCGAGCACACGAGGAACCGGGGCGAGCGAGAGGCAGAGACACCGGAGCGAGCGGGCGGGCGTGGGGCAGAGACATTAGGTAGGTAGAGACATAGGCAGAGACATAGGCGGAGAGAGGGTAGAGAGGGCACGGACAGTTCTGCACGGGAACGGGATGTGGACGGCCTTCCACGGGAACGGAATGTGGACTGTACTATAGACTGTAGACCGTGGAGCCTGGAGTCTCGAGGCTTGATTGATTGATTGATCGGTTGATTGCCATTTCCTACAGCTAGCATGGACATTGGAACCCCAGGTTATGTCCGGTAGAGGTACCTAAAGCATTTGACAAAGCAACTCCACCAAACCCCCCGCAAAACAGAAATGACAGTCCAAATGTACTAGGTACTTAGGTAGGTAGTATGTAGCCCTCTTCTTCTCCAAAAGGTGTGTACTTACTTACCTCTACTCGGTACGTACTATGGGGTAGGTACCCTCAATATATCTAACCAGTAAGTAAGTAAGCACGGCAAGATGATCCAGTAGGAACCTAAGCAGCTTGCTGCTTGACTTACTTCGCCCTTCGCCCCGACCTCCAACCTCCAACCTCCAACCTCCAACCTCCAACCTCCAACCTCCAACCTCCAACCTCCAACCTCCAACCTCCGAGCCCTCTCGGAACCGTCGTCACCGGAGCGAGCGAGCGTGCGACAGGCAGAGACACAGGCAGAGACACAGGGCAGAGAGAGAGGGCACGGACATACTCTACAGTCCTGCACGGAAACGGGATGTGGAGGAGGCTTGAGTCAAGCTTTTTCCTTTCCTTCCTTCCTTCTTCCTCTTTATTTTATTTATGGTGCCGTTGTTTTAACCTTGCTCGGCTGGCCACCCACTGGCCACTGGCGGAGGATGTTTGAACTTTGTGGTATCTATGGAACAACTGCTGGATGGTAACTGCTGGATGGTACTCTATGTATCATAACTACTGGGTGCTTCTGGGTGCTGCTGTATGCTTCTGGTTGCTGGTGGCGGGTTGCAAGTGATGGCCCATCATCCATGGCCCATCATCCATGGGGGTTAACTATGTATCTACCTGGTAGGGACGGGTGTTTCAGCGTTTCAGCGTTCAGCTCCTGGAACTGCCATGATCGAGAATCTCGATGCTGGGCTTGGACGGCAGGCAGGCCTTACGTGCATATCTATGGGAGATACTCTGCGTTCCGCCCGAGGGGAAGCGATCGTACCCTCCCTCCCCCAGCTGCAGTAAAAAGCAGTAAAACGCAGTATGTACAAAATAAGTAAAAAGCAATGTTTTCAGCTGGTTGGTTGGTTGGTTGGTTGGTTCACTGGTTGGCAGGACAGGCGGGTTGATTGGTCAGGTTTCATCCGCCTTTTTGTTGGAGAGCTGGAGAAGCGGGGAAAGGTATAGGTACCTAATGTATACCTAATGTCTGCAGCGGATTCCGAGGGAGTTCTAGTTAGAGTACTTACGGCTCCGTGGAGAAGTTGGCTGTGGCTCTACTAGAGTAGGTATAGGGATTGGAGGAGGGGAGGCTACGGCTGCGGCTGTCATCGTGGGAGTGGGAGTGGGAGTGGGAGTGGGAGTGGGGATTGTCTGTGGTCTGCAGCCTGCCTGATGCCTACCATAGGTGGTGATGACTGCTACTAGTATTCTCGAGTGGGTGGGTGGGTGAGTGAGTGAGCGAGTGTTTCCTTCGCGTTTCCATCCCATCCCATCCCATCCATCCCGGGTTTCCAAATTCCACCTACTCGTGGTGGTGGTGGTGGTGGTGGTGGTTCGAACCCACCCATTCGAACCAAGTTTCGGACGCGGCACGGTAGGTTACGGATACAGGTTTGAGTTTGGGTAGGTCAGACCGAAGGTGAGAAAGTTTGGGTCGACTGCTCTTGGCTCTTTGCTTTTGCTTTGTTTTTTTGCTTTTGCGTTGCTTTTGGTTATTGCGTTGCTTGTTGGCTGATGGTTTTTTGGCTGATGATCGGCCTACCTGCCTACATACCGGTCGGAGCGTGAGTGTGAGTGGTTGAATGGCGGCGGTCCGGTTGGGTTTTGGATTTCTTACATACCTACGGGAGGTGTTACTGCGGGGAAGGTAGAGAAGAGCTGGTGTGGTGGTGGTGAGGAAAGGAAAAGGAGTCATGGTTGCACTCTCGCAGTCGTCTTGGGTAGGGACGAAAGGCGAGTACGGTACTACGGTACTCTACTACAGTCTCTCACATGTCCCTGTCCCACCCCTTCTTACTCCTCCTCCTCCTACTCCGCCACCTCCGAGTCCGCGTGGTGACAAGAGAATAACAATCTACCTGAGTTGCAACATTGGGGGCCGCCGCATAAACCCACCACAGTCTTCACCGGCCAGCCGGCGGATCGCTACTATACTGTGCTCTAGATACCTAGGGAGATATATCTCACCTCACCTCAGCCAACCAGCCTGTTGGGGGACGTGCATACGAGATCGTCCATGCACCGTATGCGGGTAAGCTCTGAGAGCGAGCGTTGCACGACCACGGACGGCGCTTGTTCCCCGTACGCTAGAGCCTAGAGTACCGTACTCATCGAGGGGGATGAGCGATGGGTCAATACCTTAGACTACCGATGTCACGCCGCGGAGATCGGTGATGACCCACGGTCCACGGAGGCTGCAACGACGACGACGACGACGACCACCACCACCATCACCACCAAGATGACACAAGGCGCGGATGACTGTACGACGGATGTTGGTTCCCTCAGGCGCCAAATTCTCTATTCCTTTCAACATCCAGATGGCAGATCGTAAGGCTGGCACCTGCCTGCGCCTTCCATGGCCCCGTGCGCTGCGGAAGAGCCGCGCATGTATTCAGGCCTTCCAGGTCTACTCTACATATCGGCAGTCAGCGGGTGAGGCGAGAGACGGGGTTCTCGACGACAGACAGACAGACCAGGTTGAAGCTGCAGCCTGGAACATTTATTTCTTTCTTTCAGATCGAGGCGTGTCGAAAATCACCGAACGATGTGGATTTCCTGGCACCGGGCATCGGCATCCCCGGCTCGAGATCAGATGAGAGATGGGAGATGGGGTGTTTGTGTATGTCTGCTCGTATCGCGACTCGCGAGGCGGGCATCGCGAGGCTGGCAGCACAGCACAGACTGCCGACTCTCGCGAGAGAGAGGGAGGCTCCACTTACCTAAGGCACTGGGCCCCCTGCCTCTAGGCACCTCCGCGGGCGTTATGTAAATTGTTGAGAGAGTGTGAGAGATCACTAGTCATAGCTAACTGACGCTTCAGATCTCACCAGTGAGTCCTCCAAGTCCTCCATCCTCGCAACTCATGCCACTGCCCATGCCACTGCCCTTCCCCCAATCTTCCAGAGTCGTTTCCACTGCACTACTACCGGTACCTAGTGTATCTACATGTCTCATCGACTCGACGGTCGGCGAGGTGGCTTCCTTCCTCCAGGCCCTGTCCCTGTCCGTGGCGGCCGGATGTACATACACACGATCGGGGTACCGATGTGGAGGGATGCTGGGGCCCTGTCTCTACTAGTCTGTACATGGCCGGATGTGAGAATGAGATCGGCGTGCCGAAGTGGAGGGATGGTGGGCGGTCGGTCGGTCAGTCGGGCGGTCGGTTGGCCCCCAATGATGGATATGTAGTATGATATGATATGTGTGATCGTTGGGCCCCACGCCGCAAGGCTAGGTTGCGATGTGACTGTGATGCCTACTAGTATGTAGAGTAGGCGGATCAGAGTTTGTTGGAGGGAGCAGGAACAGGCGGGCCTAAAGCGATGCTCGATGAGATCGCTCTGGGGTGGGGGCGGGCCTAGCAGGAGGGGAAGGATGAGGCGGAGGCGGAGGCGGAGGAGGATGATGAGGAGGAGGAGGTAAGAGGCACCGTGCCCTGCATGGCCGCCGGTGATGGCTGATTGGTGGGTGCGGTATGCACTATACACAGGACTACCGGTATGTACGTGCTAGGTGTGAACACTGAACACTGAACAGTGAAGGTTCAAAGAAGGAAAGAAGGTTCTCGCACGAGAGTGTTATTCAACCTGCCGCGAGGAGTACACACCTGCCAGGTATGTACCCATGGTGCTCTAGAATATACGGAGATCAACCTACGTCTAGTGTCCACATCTCTTCGCCTCCCAGCATCATCACCATCCCCATCCGCATGTCTCTGACCACCAACAACCCAAACAGCCCCACGGCCGGCGGTGAAAGAAAAACGGACATACCTACCTACATCTAGCACCGTCTCATCCAACTCGAATCTGACCATACCATGATACCAGTATGTACGGCAGCTGAAGGACGAGCTCAATGCGGTGTAACGTATTCACCGAAACGCTCAAGATTTAAAAACAGTGTTCCAACTTTTGGCGGTCGTTCTGCAGCGCCGCCCCGCAGCTCTCTAGATACTAGGTGGTACCCACTTCGGCCCCGATACTCGCATCCGCCGTGCCATCATGACATGCATGCATCCACCGCGTCCCGGGAACGCTAAAGACCGATCCATCATCTCGAGATTGCGGCCGAGGAGTTGCAGGGAAAAAAAGCCACAGTCGGGCTCGGACTCGGACTCGGACTCTGGCGAGGTGCTGCCGACGCTGATGACTCTTGTGGCTCTGGAGGCGCCGATGGTGCGATATTCTGTGCCGCGGGATGGATATGCAGGCCCGAAGCAAAGTCAGCTCACATACCTACATACCTACGCGCCACAGGAAGAAGATGACAACTCTTCAGCTGGCATTGGATGGATGAAACACACACTGCAGGCTGCGATTATGTTTTTCGCACTGGTTGCAGTCTGCAATCCGCAAATATGTACCTGGTCGAGTTTCTCGTTTACCTAGATGATTGAGCCGCCGTGTACGTACCGGCGACTGATAGCACACGAGCAAGCACACGAGCAGTTGTTACATACATCTATGATTTCTCAATGTGTCAAGATCATCTTGCTTTCCTTACATATTTACGATAGCAATTTCATTTAGATGTGTTGATGTGTTGATGTGTTGATGTGTTGATGTGTTGATGGGATTCGGAGTCATCTTCGCAGGTACCTACCTACATATGCACAATGCACATATGGACAATGCGTGGTTGAAACTTGAAACTTGAAACGCGATGACTGTGTTCTCGCACGAAAGCTGAGCCAGAGTTCCTCGGACCCAGAAGTTACACACACACATACGTCCAGACTCCAGGCTTCAGAGGATGGCGGTGAAAGAAGTAACCATCATTGTGGCACAGCATGTGCTGAGTGCTCACGCCGTGAGGGTAATCTTTGCCATGTACTTACATACAAACGATGCAGGGTATGTATAAAGTAAAGTGGAAGATGCCCGAGGGCAGGATCGCCGGCACAGTCTCTCCATCATCGAATGCCTGCTTATCTCCATCAGCACGACCCCGGAATAGAGCACATATGTATCTAAATAGCTTTCCCTGAGCCTGAGTGATATCGATGCGTGGGCGTGCCGCGTGAACGTGGTCCGAGCGTAATCATTCCGCATGATGTATCATGTATCTGAGTACACATGTACGGGAAAGAAGGCGAGTCGTCTTCGTTGTGGGAGGAGGATGAGGAGGAGGAAGATAAATACCCCTCGTGATACTTTAGTTATTGGCCGCGTGAGTTGAGGATCCAATTACAGTCCCCCCCGCGCCGGCGAGAAGTTGTTGCACCGCATATTCGCTAGGAGCACACATAAGCCTTGGAGTGTCTGTCCAGTCCAAGAGTACACGACGGCATCCATCATCTGAGTTAGTACTCTGCTCTACTCTAAATTCTCTAGATAGCAGAGCCTGCTTCTGCAGTAGCCAGTGAAGATGCCCAGAGCCCAGCGGGCTTGGCTGTCGAGTGATGATCCACGTACCCCCGGGGGTCGTTGAGCCAGCATGGCAGCACCGCCGGAACCGGAACCGGAATTCGAATTTGAATAGGAACTGGCCAGCACCTCCGAGGAGTCGAGGACGATCGGTGGCCCCTGTATGGACTAATTGCCGTAGATATGATACCGGATCGGCATGTGAAGGGTGAAGCAACTCGTCGGCAGGGTCTCGCCCGGAAACGACGGTGGCGAAGGATACCATATATCGTATGCAGGTAGCACGTTATCTTCAACTTGTGACCCCGAAACATGTGCTCCTGGTGGTCTGTTTGGAGGCTCAGTTTCAGGGCCGAAGCAAAAATGAAAAAAGCAGAATGGAGTGTGCGGTGCGATACACACTGTGTCTCGGTGTGCGGGGAAGCTGCACACAATCCTCGGTCGGAAACCAGCCGTACCGTTTCCAACGGTATGTACTGATCATAATTAGAGTATTGGCCCGTGCCCCTGGCTACCCTATCTATGAGCGGCTCGGGGGGCGGGGGGAGCCCAATAACTAACCGTCTTCCCTCCACAGTCAGCGCTCAGCGATTACGGTTCCACGAATAAACACGGATACCCAGTCGAAAGTCGAAACAAGCTCCACGAAGCGCATCACCAGTATCTACCAGTGTACCACCACCACCACCGCCGTCCGCTCCACTCCGGAAGCGGCAGTAATGCCCAGCCCAGCCCAGGCGGCGTTGGGCAGGGCAGGGTAGGGTCTCGGGGGTGTCGCACAGTCGCACGACGTTTCCACATTCCACAGTCCACAGTCCAGTCCGAAAGCGCAGCTGGTGTGTGCGTGCCACGGTGACGGCCCGGGGAAAAATCATGATTCCGCCCCGCCCCGCCCCGAACTTCACCATCATAATTCATGTCACATCCCCACGGAATGATGGAACCGGGGTATCAATATCTCTGGTTTCTGGTTTTGCTCCAGCACCAGCGTCAGCCCCCTGCATATCGGTGATTACATCTGCTCTGCGGTAATCTATCCCCCCTCCACCCCACCCCCAAAGGTGAGCAGCCCCCCCCCCCCAAGGAGGTGTGCTCGTTGCCTGCCTTGGTCTTGATCTTGTCACAGGCGCTGACTGACATTGCTCATATGGTTGGGGACATCTAGTGCCGGAGTAAGTGGACATTCGGATCGGGGGAATTAAATCCAAATGCGGTAATACATTAGCATTTATTAAAATTAAAAAAGTTCCAGGCGTCCGCAGCCAAATGGCCCCGCCGGGAACGAAAATCACAATATCACGGCCAGTTCTTGCCTGTTTTCCAAGGCGCAGATATACAAAGCTCATCGACAGGTTAGTGATAAGTCAAAATTGTAGTAAATTTGTTGGTAATTATTTCCATTTATTATGTGCATAATCTTCTTCATCAGGGCAATTAGCCACCATTTGCTTGCCAAGACTTCTTAATCGGGAACTCAGCCGTGCCAAAACTGGGCTGTGGCAGCCTTGCCCCTGGACATTCCCGGGGCCTCCCATACTAAATCATGTTTCGTCTATTTATTTTGGATTTTGGTTGCCACCCAACCACACCCTTTAAAAAAAAAAGGGCGCTGTGTAAATTATCTCCTGCCTCTTCTCTATCGCCGTACTCAGGTGCGAGAGAAAGCCGTGCACCACCACCACTACCAAATGGTGCTTGATTGGGTGCACCACTTGCCCCTACACCCGAGTACAGAGCTCTTTTTTAAAATTAGGTGGTTGTTGTTGTCAACTAACCGAACGTCAAAAGTGGGAGTGAAAACACTCCGGATCTAGACGTCCCCAACCATATGTACCGTATGTAAGGCGAACGGAAAATGCGATTGAACAACTGCCTAGCTGCCTAGGTATTCGAAGCTGGAGGGGTGGGGAGGGTTGAGGAGAGTGGATGATGGAGGGTGGATTCTGCAGGCTGCACAGTGCTGCAGGCTGCATCTCGCCAGCCAATCAATCCATCGTGATCCGCAGCAGTGCAGCAGCAGTGCAGCAATGCAGCAATGCAGCACTATCCATCCAGCGAGCCAATGAGTTCGTCACCACAGGCAGGCCGTCCATCGAAATCGCCAATCACAATAAACAGCACCGCACCGCACCGCACCGGCATGCTAGAGTGCCAAGGTACCCAGTCGTTGACGAGCCACCAAGACGGGAGCCACTTACATACGGTGCAGCCCAGATGCAGGCAGGGCCCGAACTGGATTTTCGGAGTCGCGGCCGAGGACTCGAGCTGGATGGTTGTGGAAGGTTCGATGCCATGTTTTCCTCCTCTCACCCCACCCCCTTCTCCCAGGGAAATGCAATCAATCGGGGGCAGGGGGAGTACTGTACCCGCAGTGTGGCGGATACTGTACCGTACCGGTACATACAACAGTGAACACTCGATGTCATGTGCCATACATACTAGTAGCCTACCGTACATACGGTATCTACATGATTGCACGCACGCAGCGCTGGCCGACCAAGCCCACACCGGCAACTCTCGGCTTCCAGCGGTATGTAAGCAATGAGATGTGCACAGGCCCGATTGGAACGGTTCGAATGCTGATGGAAACAGTGTAGCGATACCGATGGAGCCAGCCACGGCCCGCGCCGTTGCGGCTTGGAATGTCCATTGTCCAACGAGAGTAACGCCCGCCGCCGAGCCACTTATCCGATGAGGAATACGGTAACTCACTGGCGAGGAGCCAACAGATGATGCATACGGCATCAACCTGCCGGCTGGGAGTGTATGTACAATACAGTACTCACATGCGACTACACAAGGCTTGGTTAGTCAGTTAAGTGCTGGTCGTCCCCCTCCAGGCTCCCCCCGCTTTTCCGCCTCCGGTGCCACTGGCGTGCGGCGTGGCGTACGTATGCGCGCCCCAGTCTTCTGGGTACCGTAGTTGTTGGATTCACTGGCGGACAGGCAGAAGATAGCAATTTTTTGCGAGTCTGATAGGCGTCCACGATGGCGGTGCTAACTAACTAATACCGGTAGGTATCGCTAGCCCCCCATGGCTTAGAATCTTAGATACTCTCGAGATGGCATTTCGCCAGCCCGATCCTTCACAGCCGGGCCGCGTTGTCACCTGGGCTGGGGCCGGAGCCTGCTCCCCCGCGCGCCCCCGCGTATGGGCTTTCGGATTTCCTACATACACACCTGGCGCAAGTTCGGTCTTGTTTGTTAGCCGGCCCCCCTCCCCCGCCTCCGCCTGTACATACTTTACTTTACTATCATATCGCGCGTGGTGCTGGTGCTGGTACGTACGAAGTAGGTTACGTGGGGCCAATTACTTACCCCAGACTTCGAAAGCGCACACTCCAAGTCTGGGGGTCTGGGGGAGGAAAGGCTAGGACAACATGTCCTACAAATAGGTATATCTTATCTTCCCTTCCCTCCCCCCCCCCCCCCCCCCCCCCACAGCGCCCCCGCGCAGACTGCAGTCTGGTACATACGGTCTCGCGGGGTGCCACTGCGCTGTGTTGTACTGTGCTGTGCTGCCTGCTAGGTGACGTACATACCTGCTTACCTGTACAATACATACTACATACTACATGTTCTTACAGTTATGTATGTGTGTGTGTAGGTAGACGTAGCGATATAATGCTAAGGGGATGCGTTTCCCGCAGAGACGTCGACGTAGCATGAGCAGCAGCAGTGTGGACGTGTAACAGTTACCTGGTGGTGAATCGAGTTGAGTTGAGTGTTCGCATCCTCCCGTCGGAGCTGGCAGTTGCCAGTATGTACGTCCAGATTGCTAATCGATTCGGCGCAGGAAAAACGACGAATGGAACGTACGTCGTAAACTGCAAGGCTACTAGAGCTACAGCAACGTGCCAGGGATTCCGAGCCACCACTACCATCGTCATCATCATCACCGCCGCCGCCGCCGCAATCATCAATCACCATAGACACACGAGAATTCGGAATGATCATATCGCAGTGTCCAGAGTCCACGCTGTACCACAGCTCCTCTGCACGCTGCACTGGCGATCTCGCAGCGATCTCGCAGCGAGCGAGCTGGTGCGAGCTGGTCCGCACTGCGCGATGCCGAGGTCGAGGTCGAGGCGTCGTCGAAAGAAACAGATTACGGCAACGGCCCACTGGCACATTACAGTACAGTACAGTACACTGCAGCGTTCTGTTTGTGTTTGTGTTCCTTCGGGTCTCGATTGATCGCAGCTAGGGAGGGAGGGGGGGGGGGGGGGGAGGGGGGGGGCGATGCCACTCTAGAAACAGAAACAGCACGGTCACCAGAACACGCGCCCTCAGATCTAGATGGCCATTCATCTCCCCCTCCTGTTCCTCCTCCTCCTCCTCCTCCTCCTCCGAGTTGAGGTTTGCCACCGCGAGCGAGCGAGCGACGTGATGCTGTGCGCGAATTTCCGTTCTCCTTCCAAGAGCCCAAGTTCCAGTTTCCAGTTTCCCAGCCCATGGTGCCCACCCCGCGTCCATCGTGTCATGTCACGGCATGTCATTGGCAGATAATATCTCCAGGTATGTATGTATGTATTGTACAGTATGTACGAGCACATACGGCCACCAGCGGCCAACCAATGCAGCCAATGCAGTTAGTGGTTGGTGGTTGGTGCGTGTGTGACACGCCTCGGGTTACCACTGGCTCAACTGTATCGATATATACCAGATAGGTAAGCATCTATCCAATCAATCATCCATCATCCACAAACCCAAACATAGGTCAAGCCTGCACCTGCCACCGTTCTTTTCGATGGATGGGGGTGACTAGGTACTTAGGTAGGCAGCTGTGTGGAAAGAAAAGAAACCGCCCACCCATCCCGCACCAAAATTGAGCTCACGTACGTTTTACTACGCCGGAGGTGACTTGTACAGCATCGGCAGTAACATATACCGGTATTCAGCGTGGACCGGACGTCACGTCAGGATCAGAAACACACGGTGTACGATGTAGATCACAGATGCGTGTCCATTCACTCTATAGGGTCCTCTGCAGGGTCTGCAAGCTCTGCTGCTCAAATACCGATGAAATGTTCGAGTTGTTGCTTTTGTGGCGGCGCGGCGGGGAATGATCCGACCCGAACACATGATAGCACTCGCTCGTGCTGGACACGTGAGCGGCGAGAAAAGTGATATGTACTCGAGTACAGTACATAAGTACGCTGTAGGTAGTAAATTGTGAGTGACTCGACCGCTATGTACATACATCTGGAGTGTAGTTAGCCCGGACGTCTTCTCCAATGTTATACACATACCTTATAGTAACTATTGAAGATCGTCCCTCTGCCCTTCGCATGATAGGTATGCGCTCTCGGGAGAAGTGCGTAGTTTCTCCCAGGCACGTGGTCATGGAGTGTCTGATCTGTTGAACATGAGACCGACCGACTAGACTAGACGAACATAAAAGCAGCAGTCGAGAACATTTCAAAGTTGAGCGACCGCCGACCGCATTGGGTGTGCCCGCCATCACACCCTGGTCCCGCCATACCGCCGCCTTCCGCTCCCCGCAACACAAAGCCGCCTCTGTCCCCGAATGCCACACGGGTTGGAAAGACTCAGGAGCTGTACTAGTACTATGTCTCTTATCTTTTGCCGTGAGAAACAAAACGGCAAAAATGAGACACCTCAGTATCTTATATAGACATGATTCAGCCGGGATTTGAACCCGGGTCGGGCGCATATTGCGGATGGCAAGCGCCCATGATACCCCTACACTACTGAATCTGCTGTATGCATCTGATGCATCTAGTGTGATGACAGACGAGAAGTATACCATCTGAGGCTGCTCGTCCATGCACAGACGGCGTTGTCTCCCTGCCCGCAAGGAAACCAACGAAACCCCCAGCGTGGACAATCCAGCCAGCCAGTGTATGGCGCAGTGCACATCCGAGCATCGGGACATCCCGGCGCACCACCTCGCCGAACGTTCAGTCTGAGTCCAGACAGACAAACACAGGCTAACTACAGCACGGCCGGCCGGCCGACACATCGCAGATCTTCCTCGCACCATTGCGCACATACCATTGGCAGAAAACCTCCGACTGGCTGCGTACATTGCATCTGGAGCCAGCCACATCCGCTCGCACCACGTCGCCATCAAGGGATTCGGGAAACGAATTTTTCGAACGTCAGAGATGTCTGCAGGATGGGATCGATTGCTCGTATTCCACGTCCGGCACCGACGCTAGGTACTGACCGCTGGTAATGGTGGTGGTGGTGGTGGTGATACGGCGATGGGCTCCGGATGCGGTGAGTCCGTGTGTTAAGTGGCCAACTGCTCTGCCCATGCTGCCCATCCACAGACCAATCAAATATACCTAGGTCCCAGAGTGATGGCTTGTGCAGCTGTACTCTCCATACCTACCGGGACGTACTCTAGTTACCTATGCCTCGTCACACTACTACATATCCGGATTCCACAGCTCGAGTCCGTTCACCAAAAAGGAACCCCCCCCCCCACCCGCCGACCAAAGGAGTATGATGATACTTCCGAGTGGGTGCAAGGTACCTAATCGCAAAATCTCCTCCATCCTGCGGATGAAGCTATGTACATAGCAACATCGGATGGATCCCACCCCAACCGCGCAGTGCGCGCTTAAGATAATATCTTAATATCTCTCTCTAGCATCGTACCGTACCGTAACGTACGTATGCAGGCTCTCGCCCCGCCCCGCCGCGGTATATATGTACTCGAACATTAGGCACATAAGTAAGCTACAGATACAGATACAGATACAGATACGGATACGGATACGGATACGGATCTTTGTTCCAGCTGGTGCAACTTGCAGATTAAATTTATATCTACATACTTGAACCGTTGTCTGGTGATGGTGGCGGTGATGGGAGGTTGTGGGCGTGCGCGTGGATATGGTGGTGGTGCTGGTGGTGCGCCTTGCAGGACAGTATTTGCCGATAACTAGATACGGCCTGCATTCACGACCCCCCCCCCCCCCCTCGCCGATGATGTCGGGCGACGTGGTGCGAGCGGACGTTGCTGGCTCGAGATGCATACCTACTATACGCAGCTAGCCAGCCAGCCAGTCGGAGGTTTTGCAGCCAATGCAGTGGTCACTGATCCTACGAGGAGGATCTGCGATGCGCCGGCCGGCCGTACGGTGCTGTGTCTGATTGTCTGAACGTTCGGGGAGGTGGTCTTTGGAGTGCCGGTATACTGTATCCCGAATGCAGATGCGACTCGTGAGGCGCACGGAGTGATTAACTGGCTGGCTGCGGGCGGGCTTGTCCGCCGGTGGGAAGACTGGGTTTCTGGGCTTGCAGTAAAGCAGTGGAGTGGTGGTTGGGGAGACAGAACGCCGGCCGTGCATGGATGGGTAGGAGGTATAATACATAGGTTGGCTTTTTCAACATCTGTTATTGCACTATATGCGAGAAACGCATACACAAGATTCAGTAGTGTAGGGGTATCATGGGCGCTTGCCATCCGCAATATGCGCCCGACCCGGGTTCAAATCCCGGCTGAATCATTTCTATATAAGACAGTCAGTGTCTATCTTTTGCTATTGCTATTTTGGTTCCCAGGCAGATTTCAAAGGGTTTATTGCACTTCACGTGCAGCGTTTTCGACATTTCTACATAGTTGGTTAGGCAGGCAGGTCTTCGGTGGCGCTTCTGTCCCAGCCTCCAGCCTCGGGCGACTTCGAAGTTTGTTTTTAGATCGCCCCTATATCGAGTCTCGACCGCGAGCGTAAGCATTTTGGAGCAAACTCAATCGTGATATCTCCCCCACACAAATAGCATCCAGTGAGAACCGTGATGAGTTTGGGGGATCATCGCGACAAAAAGAAACGAAATCATTCTCGCCCTCGATGAATGGGTGGCTTGGAAGTTCCCAGGCACTACGAATCACAATCACGTCGGCAGGTCTTATGCAGAGGGTTTTTTTCAATTTACAACCCATAACGCTGTGTCAGCCTTCGGGAGTCGAGACTGAAGAACTCTGTTTACCTATCCGAGCACCAACTGGAAATATTGCCTCCTGTGCTCGCTGCATGCTATCGAACATACCCCATCGATCATACCATCCGTCAATGGAAATGCGGGCTGAGCTCTTATTGTCGCGGCGGCGACTCTGGATCTCCTCAATACAAATGTTATTTCTGCTCGTCTACCTACCATATGAAGCCATGTATACAAGTCATAAGCCTTATGGCAGCCTTGTATGAGGGCGATATTGAAACAACCCCCATGAGTATATTTTTACTTATATTTGTGTATTTTTTTTCTGTAGGGCTTTTCAGAAAATAAGGCTTAGTCAGGGTTTGCAACTTTTAGGCCATATTGTTGAATATGGCTTCCACAATCTTGAGGGCTGTGAAAATTAGTTGCGACCCATAAGCTTTCTGCAACGCCTACTAGCTGCCATGCCTTATGAGTTCATAGGGCTTCCGTAAGGATGCCATAAGGAATTTTCATAAATAAGGGTTCTTGTGATTCTAAGCAATACATAATGACCTCTTCTGCACAAGCCTTATCATACAATACTTATCACTTGTGGATGCTCTTCTTCCGTACCCTCACATACCTAAACCAAGTACTCTCCTTCTCCGCGGATACCTACGCTTGTACTATATGACTATGTCCGCCGGTTGCTGTACATACCTCCTTCTTCTATAGAACAATTTCATGCTTTTTGTTTAATCATTGATTGCATGCGACCTGTCTAGATCATGGCAATGTCTACCCGTACACTTCCCTGTTTCCACGCCGCTGTCCGACTCGACTTTACCGAGTGGCCGATGTGGCTTTCCCTGCCCTTCGCCCCGGCCTAAGAACAATTTCATGCGTAGGATTAGTTGAGCATCATCAGCTATCACTTCATTGGGCGAGTGATGAAACGTGTACGATCCCTAGCAAAACAAAACAAAATAAAACTTGGAACAGAGGCGGCCAGGGGAACCAACCCAACCCAACACCCAAAGCCTTCACCCCCTGGAGCTTACTGGTACTTAAATCCTCCTACGCTGGATGAGCGGCCACCAGACTACTATATAGATGACTTCATTAGTATTGAAATAGGCTGATGACAGGGTTCAGCCTTACTGGGCGATTTTCGTAAATTTCTCATTCTTTCATCGATCCAGCTAACTACTCATTATCACCACAACCACTGGTCGAGACGTTCTCTTTCCATCGAACATGTTTTGACATTGTCATCATGATAGTTGTGGTGGTTGGGCCCGTTGG